TTCGAGAAATGTACGTCATCGTTCCGTGAAACTACGAATAAAAATCTTCTCCGTTAGGAGAAGAAAAAACAAAAGAAGTATTTCTGTAGAAGAGATGTGGAGTTTAAAATAACAAAACTCTTTCCGATAAACTGGAAGTCGACCAATACAATTTAGTCGGACGCAAGGCTAACATGATTTTCTCGAGCTATCAGTCAACAGTCGAGTAAATACGGTAATAATAGGGATTTCTAAACCTTAGTCGAAAGAAGTATCGTATTCAACTCTTTTGCACCTTTTTTATTTTTATTATTATTAGCGCTCCTCCAATCAATGTCTTACGTACGAAAGAGTTATTTTATGAAAGGGGATGAAATTAATATAGAGTACTATATTCGCCTGTTAGACGATATAATGTCAAAGTAGAAGGATATAAGTCTTACAGTAACGTAGCGTCGAATTTTTTAATTCATCATCCGAATTAAAAATATATTAAATTCAAAAGAGAGGAAAAATTACAAGGAAAGGAAAGAAAAACTTGTCAGAATATATATATATATTCTTGTTTAAATAAGATAATTTATACGTTCGTTTCTTGCATCAATTATAAATTATTCTCATCCGATGAATATATTGAATAAGATAGATATAGTATTTATAATTTTATCTAAAAAATTTCCTCTATATAAATATTCCCGTTGTTTCATTTGAACTTCGCATAAGCTACGGATAACCCTCATCGTCTTTATATATATATGTTTTTTATGATCTGTCAAAATCTACAGACACTGTAATACCTTATCATAAATTTATGTCATAAGCGGAGTACCTATCGATATCATATCGAAAATATCATCGACCCGGATGCTTTAAACGATGTATATGAAACTGATAGTTCGAGACATATCATCACGGTTGAAGTGTCACGATTTGTCTTCCCCTTTTTTCAAAACAGAGAAATACAATTTAATCGTATTATTTAGACAAAGTATACCGATATTTTATATTCTAAAAACATATTACTCGAAGCAAAAATAAATAAGAAACGACGATAAATTATAAGAATATTGAACATAGTCATGTAGGAAAAGCAAGCAATCATCAATACATATCTAACCAGGTAAGATAAAGCCCCCTCTGATTTTTTTCTAATTTTCTACATTTGTAATAATTCATGAGGATATTCAGTGTGTCTAAAAACATGGTGTAAACATTTAGCCGTTTGCAAAAGTTGTTTAAATTGAATTTTATTTTACAAACGGTTAATAGAGATTGGATAAAAATAAATAGGGAATTCAAATGAAAAGTGCATCTATGAATTGGACAACTCATATGTTAGGCTATTGTATCACTTGATTGTACGATTAATATATTTTTCTTTTTGTTACAGGTGATCATCGTTGGATTTATCATCTGCTCGTTCTGATTTTCTTCTACTTGTGTTTTTATAATTGCTATTTTTTAAAATATATATGTATACTAGCATTTCTGAAGGCACACACAAAAACTAAATATGACATATACATTGTTATTTGAAATTCTATAACAAATTTAGCTCTAAGTATTTTTGTGAAAATGCACCCTTTTTCGGGTTTTTGTTGCAAACGGCTAAATGTTTACACCATGTTTATAGTCACACTGAATATCCTCATGAATTATTACAAATGCACAAAATTAGAAAAAAATCAGAGGGGGGCCAATCTGACTATCTCCTGGTAAGTAACTTACTACCATAAACAGTAAGAGAAAAAGAAGAAGAAGGGGACGTGGGAACGTTCATTTATTCTACTGTAGTTGAACTTTAGATAGCATCAGTGAGAATACAAAAGAGAAAAAGTATCCCTCCTGACGGCAGTTTCACGTGCGCTATTTACTTCATTAGTATAATTAGAGTATGAGCTTTGCGTAGCCGAACAAGACGAAGAAAGAGAAATAGAGAAGAAGGAGAAAGAGAAGGAAGGAAGAAAGAAGAGAAGGAAGAGAAGGGTCAAAGGAGACCAGGGGAAAAAATTTAATTTAAAACTCGTTCTCTGCGCACTGTCTACGTGTTAGAGAGAATTAACTCTTCTCAATTACCGCAACATTAGGTAAATTACGGTTCAACGGCATCACATTTTAATCAAGATAATTTGCAACGCCTTTACTTTGTTCTTAATCCTAGCTAACCCGAAAATCTCCTAGATCAACTAGTATAATAATATGTATATATGTATATGTGTAAATATACATATGCTTAGAACTTAAGACACTTATCAACTAAGGGGCTCAAATACATATGTATATTTACGTTAGGTTAATAAGCTAATTAGATAATGATGACATTCGTGTTTCCATTAATTAACAAAAATATTATTCGCATCGTTGGTTTGATTTAATATTTGGTATACAAATACACGTTGATACGTTGACGAGTTTTGTATTTCAAAATTTATTTTGACGTACACCAGCGCGCTGATCGATACACCCTGTCGATTTATCAGAGAAACCAACCGTTATACAACCAGATTTATACAATTATCCCGAGTAATAAAGCACTAATGACTCACTGGGTAAAATAATACGATATTTTACGCTATTTTACGTCCATACTATTTATTTCGTTCATCACACTCTCTGTTTCTACTTTCTATTGACGTTTCACGTCAGATAATACTTTTTCATATCGTAACATGATAGTCCGATTATACAAACGCCCCATATAATATTCCAATCGCGTTTTAAGATAAATCGTTGGTATACTATATTCTATCATTGAAAACAAAAGAAACCAGTATCCTATCCTATTCTATATTAATTAACACTAAACATACTACGACTGGTTATAAACTTTGAATTTCAATTTTTCATACAATGTTTTACTATTGTGCATCATTTGACTTTACGATAATTACAATCATTCATTTTGTTTTATTCATTATTTAAACCATTACCAAATTTACTATTATTAACATCCAATTGTAAAAAAAAAAGAATTTTCGTTGAAGACCTGTCATTTTACTAACCATTTTACTGATTACGGTATACAAATTGGTGTACATAAATTGCCATTAAACGAGCAATTCTCTTTTATTCGTATATTTGCCTATTTTATTGTTTCCATTTCAAACGCCATCAATACTAATTGTAAGAAAATTGTCGATATCAGTTAATTTATGTAATTACGCTTGCATATTATAAAAATACAAATGACAAGAGGAAGGGACTTATATAAAATTGTTTAAACGATTTTTTTTTCTAGATTTGACATTCGATTTATATCAGGTTTGAAAAGATAAAAAAGAAATCGGCAATATTTGATAGGACATCAACCACTCTTGATGATATGAATACTTTTAACAAAAATAACAGACCACGAGTATTCAGTCTAAATTTACTTTTGCAACATGTCAAATTTGAACATATACATATATATATAATCGAGAGAATCACGCTTCAAAGCCATTCAAAGGCGAGATAAAGGGCGGACGAAACTGGTTTTGGGTGTCGAAGAAACGACGAAATGGGGGAAACCACATTAAACGTCGATGCGAAGCGAACTATGACATGACAGAACCTCGATACTTCAAAATGTCCCAAAAGCATATTGAGAATACCATAGGTTTCCATTTCTGCCACATGAAACCATTCTCGACCGTTTAACTGATTTCTGTTAGTTCAATAATTCTTAATCCATTTGCGTATTGCCATCTTTTCAATGCTCTATTTCGATAAATAATACAATTTCAAATGTTTATATAGATTCGTTAAAAATAAATTCAAACATCTGCATCATATAAAATAACAGATCGATATTTTTTAAATATTCAAAGTATATTAACGAGATAAGAGATCATTTTATTTCGTACGTGATGTATTATATAGTTTCGTATTTACTACAATATATATTTCTTTCGATTAATTAACAATTACTTTAATACTGTAATGCACTCTACTTATATATTTAAAATTGTTTATACACGTATATAATACATTTTTGTTTAAAAGTGATTTAAACATTAAAAATTAACATACTTTCAATAATAAATAATTTCGATCTGGTATATTCTATAAGATGAAAATTTGATCCTCGAAGTAATCACTATCCAGGAACGTTTAAACAATCAAAAATATAAGTAGAGTACATTAGATTATTAAAATAATTATATAAAAATTAATAGAATGTAAAAAATAGAACGTTATAATCTTAGATTCTCTCTATTAGGAATATATTATTACGATTGCACACATGTGTGCGCAACGTTCTGAAAGTTATATAAATAACATTTAATAAAAGAACTTTAACAGAGGACAACGTGTCAGTCTAACTGTGATTTTCGAAGAGGATGATTCATCGATCATTTAATCATATATCGCACACTCTACTCGTTTTTTAGACTTTTTCAACTAAAATACATTTGTTTTAACGTTTCTAAATTAACAGATCTCCTTCTGTTACATCCCTTCTTTACATGCTGAACCCAGAACTTTTCAGTACCCTATACGTAGGAAAACTGTTCTTTCTTAATATATAATATATAAAATACTTTTATGTATTTCATATGTTTAAATGATATTTCGTTACTCTAGATCAGAAAAAATTGAAGAAAAAGAGATAAAGAAATCACCTTCGATGCAGTTATTCGAATCATCGTGAGTATTGCAAACGATTAAGAATTATTGTGTTAACGCTTATCAATGAGAATATGATATTGAAAAAAAATGCCGGGTTATCAAAACGAAGAAAGAGAGAGAGAGAGAGAGAGAGAGAGAAATAGAGAAATAGAGCTTGTGCAATATCGTATTTAAAGCGGGGACAGACACGTGAGAATCGTTATAATCAAAGCACGGTATCTGTTTAGTTTAAAACATATTACTTTAATTACACGTTCATCGACTATATCGTTTGTTAATACGATAGTACGCGTAATATATATTTGATTGAAATAGATACAAGGAGGTATTTGAGTAAATGAAAAAAAAAAGATAAAAAAGATAGTTAAGTAACACGATCTTCGAATCACATTGCGCGCTAGTGCTGCGAGGGAACTTGTAAAACTTGCCAACAAAATGGATATCAACGTGCGACTTCCTGTCCTACGATTGTGAAAGTGTCGTATCTTGTACGAATTGATCCCCCGTGACGTAAAAGCATTTTACGTATAAGGAGTTCAAATAAAGAAAGGCAAGATAAAATAATAAGAAAAGGAATAATATCGAAAGGAGTACAAGAATAAGGACAACGCGTGTTGCGGGAATATAACGTGTGAGAGAGAGAGAGAGAGAGATGAAGAGAGAAAGTGGATTTTCTCCATTACGCTTTCGATCTCTGGGTGGGGAAAATCAATAGGGAAAAGCAAGTTCAATAAGCGAGCATGGCTAGAATATAACTTACGATTGATATAGAAACTATACTACTCCTTCTCTTATTATTTTGATTGTTTCAATGAAAATATTGAGATGTGCAAATGTATTTTATCGAATCGAATGAAAAAGTTGTTAACAACGGAGACGACTATGTTACGAGATGAATTATTGTCAACGTCGACGACAGGAACGACGACTCCATGGCGAAAGAAGAAGATGTGATTTCGGGTGTTGCAACAAAATTTTCCTTTAAAAAGAAAACATGTTAGAATTAACTCTAATCGTATTAAATTCTTGACATCGATTAACGAAATAACGTTAAATTTTCGATGTTTATTAAGTTTCAAAGGAATATGATGATTCGACGCTGGTGGTACGTGTTTTTAAACATTGCATTCTGCATAATATTGCAGTTAAATTGTGTCGAATCTACTCACATAACCGGCACTTTCGACACCAAGGAATTCTTCCGTTTTTTGATTAAATTTGGCTTCCAAAAAACTGACCGTCACAGGCAGAAAGACACATCGGGATATATATTTGGCAATATCACTAGCAAATTGAACTTTACCGTACCAATTACATTGGCTGTTCTTGATCGTAGTCATTTTTTGGAGTACTATGGTAATAGGACTGTAATAGATAAAAATATTGCATGTACTCTAATGTTTAATACTCTCAACCAGAGTTCGTATGATCCAAATTGTAATGACGAAGGCCAAGATTTTCTAAGGTATGTAGAGACTACGGAGCAAATATATTTGAAATTATTGTGAATCATTGTTTTTCTTACATTATGTTTCTTTCTTTACTATTAAAAGGCGAATACCTTGTCCTAGAGGAAAGTTATGTCAAGACGAAGATTCTATATGGAATATTGTAAAAGGACATCAATTCACTTATGTTATACAAGACTTTTGGCAACCACGCTTCTGGTATATGAGTATAGTAGCATGTTATAGAAATGCAACAACATGCCAGTGGGAATATTATGATAAGCATGACATATTAGAGTATGATATATGGCTAGTAAATGGCAATCCTAATACTAGTGGCCTGAACAGTCTTACGTATCAGTTCTCCTATGACAGGCAGAATACCATAGAACTATATTTACTGTTCTTTGTGTGCTATATTATATTAGTTCCGCTGCAATTATATGCAGCAAGATTACAAAAACACCCCGTGACACGATTATTTACGGCTAGCTTATTATTAGAGTTTGTTGCAGTGTGTTTAATTTTAATACACGTGTTAAAATTTTCTCTCGATGGAGTTGGCTACGAACAATTAGAAGTTGCTGGTGATATTTTTGATATTCTCTCACGGGTAAGAAAAGTGTGTGTTTAATATGTGGTAGAATGTAAAGAGCGCGTTAAACCTAAATACATAAGCATGTAATATGTATATATATATATTTAAATATATTTTTCTATGCGTAGTATACAGCCATAGAATATCGTTAATTTAACTCATATATGTACATATGTGTGCGTGCTCTTGAATCTTGTTATAAACCATCAATACAATGTATTATTTATATTATAGGCATCATTTATGTTACTTCTACTTTTACTTGCCAAAGGATGGGCTGTAACTCGAATGGAATTAACATGGAAGCCTCTAGTTTTTGCTATATGGCTATGTTATGGAATAGTACACATTCTACTATATGTTTGGAACATGGTAAATTTTGATCATCGCATTTAAATCTATTGTAAAACATTTATCGCATATGTAATATTTTTGTAGACCGAAGTCGACATAGTTGAAGACATCGATGAATACCAAACTTGGCCCGGATGGTTCATTCTTTTATTCCGTAGTGCTATAATGATTTGGTTTTTATATGAGCTTCGAAATACTATGACGTATGAACATAATACTCAAAAATTAAACTTTCTTCTACACTTTGGTGCATCTTCATTAGTTTGGTTTATTTATTTACCAATAATAGCTCTTATAGCGCTTCAAGTAAGTGCTCTCTGGAGGTTTAAATTATTATTGGGTAAGCATTCCTTAAGAAGACTTTATGTATGAAACACATGTTGCAATATACAAATTCTGTAGCAACCAATATATGTACTGATTTAATAATAATAATAACTTTTAGGTATAACATATTCAGCTGATTGTTTTGCTTATTGCGTAATGACACATTTGTTATGGCCAACACGAAGCGAACAGTACTTTTTACTCGCCCAAGGTGGAGATAATGGTGATGAACTTGATGAATTCAATGAAGCACCGCATGTACTAAATAATTATGTGGAACCACCAGAACTCAGTAAAATTATCACTTAATATTTAAATCTTAATGAGGTAAAATATTGAAAAGTAAACATTAAAAATGTGATGTATATTTGCCAAATGGTAAAAACATAGAAAATTGGTAATACTTTGATCTGTGCTATTTGAGACTGAAATGTGCTGCACATTCTGTAATTAATATATGTATATCATTGATCAGATTGAAATATGTAATAGAAGTCAATAATCAATATGAAAAAGATAAAATGAAGAAACATAATGTAAAGATCAGTTTATTATGATAATTTTTTACTTAGAGGATAAAAAGTAATGATAATTGATTTATTTTGTACTAATTCATAACATACAGATATATCAGGTGCATAGTGTATAATAGAATAATATAAAAAGAGTCACTCTTTATTTTTAAAAATATTTGAAACGCGTATCAATTCTTATAGTTGACAATTTTCTAATTATTTTTATTTTTATTTGACTTCAATATTTCACCTATCTATCATATACTTACTATATAATATATACATAGATAAAAATTATAAAACTAATCACACGACTCTATATGGTAGATTTTATAATTTTATAGTAATCTACATGATAAAATTTCCTTGCAATACTCTCTTTATTTTTGTTCTTTTCTTTTTTTATACTTTGTTAGTAATTTTATTATCCTATACTATAAAAAAAATCTATTTTAGTGTGTGCTTGAAAGAGAATGATTATACATAGTTGTTTACATGATTGGGTGGTTTTATAATTACAATAAAATGGGAACATGACTAAGCAGCCATGAAATAACTAGTTGGGTACAAAACTGAATACATTAATTTAATAAGAATAACATCAGTATTATATATACTGCGCATATATACTTGATAACAGTTTTATTATTGCTACAAATATGAACAATGAAACAATTACTATAAATAGTTATGGCTCTTAGTAGTTTTGTATTCTTCAGATTATATATATGTATAGAATTGTCATGCAGTAAGTTATTTGATTTTAATTTCAACCTAAGCACAGTAAACGCAGTTTTATTCAAAACTGAAAGTTCTCTAGGACATTACTACTACTAATTTTTAATTAAAAAATCCACGATTAAAACTTTTTGATTACTTTTAACTACCTGAAGAAAGTATAAATTCTATGTGATGATTTATATTAGAATATAGATAAATATATATGTATATTACAAAACAAATGATTATTGTTAAATATTGTTAAATTTTTCCTTAGAAACTAATGTTTTTATTCGTTTATTTTTTTCTTTTATTATAAATTTAATTATACCCCATTAGGATATATGTTAGTGTATACAAAGTAGAAAACGAATCAATGGACTATGAATTAAAAATTATATTTGTAATATTACTTTTTACTAGTTGTACATTATTTAACGAAACAATGTTGCTCAATCTTATAATAAATAATATTGATAGAGAAGTATACACAAATATACACACTGTCTTTAGAAAAATTTTGAGCTCCATGTATGTATTAAAATATTGGTGCAATGTTTCTAATATCTTGATATTATTGTAGAAATCAGATAATAGATATCTTAGACAGAATAATTGAAAGAAGGTCTATCGCGTCCTTAATAAAAAGTAAATAAAATGTTTCACAGAATAAATGTTAATGAATATTTAATTCAAATATATAAACCTTGAACAGAAATATACGCGAAATTTAATAAATTTGGTTCAGAATCAAATAAAATATTAATCACACTTTACAAGTATATTCACTTGTGTTTTGTGTGCGCACAAAATTATATTGTGTTTAAACCAAAAAATTTCTATTATATATATAAATATATGTGTGTAATTATGTTCTTAATCAGTAATCATTTTCACATTCAAATAGTTGTGAATTTATTTTATCTTCTAAAACGCATTAGAACAACTTTTTTCATTCATCTATATTAACCAAAAGTGTAAATCATTTTCACATAACCCATTGTCAAGAAATATATTGTACAAATGAACGTCAGTATGAGTTCTAGTTTTTCATATTGTTAAATATACAACAGTAAATGGAAATAAATAATGTTTAAGTAATTTTTTACATGTAATAAAAAATTTAAGGAAAGCCTTTTATTTGTTCAAAAGCGATAAGCTAATGTATTATTTTTATACAATTCTTTGACATTTACAACAATTTTAAATGAGAAGTAATCTTATTTACTTCTGTACTTAGATCCGGTCCAATTCCAAGTACTGAAATAGTTCCAGGTTTTAATTGAGTTCTACCTGCATCTCTTATTATTGCTGTGACTAAACCAATTTTTTTAGCGCTACGGTCCAAATTTAATAATTCCTGTTCGCTCGATACTTGAAGAACTATTTTTGGTTGACCATTATATAACCAACTTTGAAACATATACCGTTTTATTGGATTAATTGGTGCATTTCTATAACACTCTAATGCTGCATGAGCGCATTGTGCAGCAATTTTTCCTGTGCCCATAACTATATCCTTTCTTACTACAATAACCATTTTATAACTTCCAGCTGGCAATACTTGAAAAAGGGTAGGCATTACTTGTTTAAATATCAACGACATGATTAAAAAATGTTAATTAACTTGTATCTTGTTTTCGTTTATATTCTTCCATGCAAACTCTAAACTTTTTTACTAGGTCCTGGCACTTTCTCCAATCTCGGGTTTCAGCAATACATTCCTTTAATTGCAATTTATCAAAGATGATCAATGAAAAAAAGAAACAATATTTTTAAATGCTATACCTGAATTTGATAATGTAATTCAATACAACCAGTCTTTTTTAATGCTTGTTCAACTGGATCTTGATCATAACCTGTCTGAACTTCAGCTTTGTTTACTATCATGATACTTATAAATGATAAATTAATTATATTATTATATGATGATTAAATTAATGATTAAAAAGATTCTTTTCTTATCGAGTAAAAAGAAATGATAGGATGGTTTGTATGAATAATAATCCAACGAATGAATAAAATCCTTCGAATATCTCGTGTTTAGCACACGAAATAAATCACACACACATGTAGATATTTATACACATACAATGAATGCGATGAATTACAAAATGAATCAAAATCAAATAAAATAGATATTCCCATAGTATTAAAAATTCTTTTCATTAAAATACAATATTGTTTTCGCTTTAATTTTTTAATTAATAAAATAAAATAATAACAATAAATTAATATGTAAGTAAAAGTAATATTTGAATTCGTAGATGACGCTGTTAAATTTTGTTCGTCGGTGTCCATTCTAATATCCTTTGTAAACTATGTTTGTAACGTGGAGCAGTAGCCAATGAATTTAGTTTTTCTAATATATTAGAAGTAAGGAATAACTTGATTTTATTTAAACGATTAAAGGTAACTAAATATATTATATAGATTATTTTTTAAATATATTTTTGAATTTATATGTTTTACTTAGTTCAATTATTAAAATCGTTGTATACTTCTTAATTGTTTAATCAGATGTCTATGTGTTTGTTTGACTTGTCCAAAAGAAAGTTGAAATAAAATTTCGGGAAAGTATCTTATCACATATATTCTATATTACATATATTTTATTCGCTAGTCGAAAAATTTAGAATACAATAATCATTTGCTATTATTGAACTTTGAAAAATATATTTAATTAAACTTGGCTGTATTTAACTAGGATTGAAGAAGAATTCGTAAAAGTACAAAGTTCTATGTGAATATTTGTGTAAGCAGTCTGTGTTGCATCCTTAACCATATTTATAAATTTTAATTGGCGGTACGTCATATACAAATAACAATTTAACATTTTTTTCAAAATAAAACGCATAGAAATAATTGATATTATAGATCATACCATTTGGTAAATATTCATTTTAAATTCAAAATATTTATTTTACAGTTGGAAAAATGTCAGAACAATTTGTTGGGTGTACAGTTTCTGTCACATGTGTAGATGATCTTGGTATTTATCAGGGTCAAATAATAGATTTAAATAAACAAAGCGTGACACTTTCAAAGGCTTTTTGTAACGGTGTGCCGCATACTTCGTCTGTAGTTAGTTTAAAGTAAGTCTCTAACGGACATGTACACATTATAAGTTTCAAATTAAGCCCATATTGTATCGCATAATTTCATTTTAGTGTTAAAGATATAATCAATGTAGAAATCATTTCTACCAAAGAAACTAGCTCCAGTATTAACGATATGCCGCAGCAAAGTAAAGTAACGGTTAAAAGACCAATAGCCAAAAGAGCTGGTAGATCTTTTTCTGAAAGTGTACCACCTTCTACGCATTCTGGTGGAACGCAAACATCATCGAATGTTAGAAAATCTGTTGAACCGGCACAGCAACAATCTGAACTCGCAACTAATGGCAAAATGGGATCAAGTATATTATATTTTTTATAAGATATAAGAGTTACCTATTATTGAAGTTTCACACAATTAATAAATATTGAATAATTCCTATAGCTGAACCTAATTGTAAGCCAGCTCAGAAAAGACTTACTCATAGACAAAGAGTGCTCGAAAGAGATGAGCATACTTTTGGTACTCCTATCGATCAATCCTTGAGCCAGGATTTTGATTTTGAAAAAAATTTAGCATTATTTAACAAAGAGGTTTGTGTTAAAATCTTTATCTTTTGGCAAATAAATGAATTATTCAAAAATAATAATACTTATTTCTTAGGCTGTGTGGCAGGAAATAAATTCACTTAAACCAGACATCGTTAGACAGTCAGAAAATAATAGAGGGTTAGGTGGTAAATATCGACACGATGAGAATATAATTGTTTCGGAACCTACAGCCTTTAGACAGATAGTTGTACCTGCGAGCGGTGAAAAAGAATATGTTACTGATGATGGCCTAGTAATTCCAAGTATCACTCTTGACCTTCACCGCCAATTAATTGGTGCAGCAGATCGACTCGGTATCAGTTGGGAACGAAGGGTATGAAGTTCGAATTATATTATACTTATTATGAGATTTGTAAATAATCTAAAGACTCGTAGGTAGAACTTCTTGGACGTGCAGGAGCAGAAATTATTCTACAACTTCTTGGTGGAGGACATAGACTTAATCCAAATAATGCTCATCAATGGCCAACCGTTGTAGCACTTTGTGGGCCAAACAGATCAGGAGCTGCTGGTGTTAATTGCGCACGACAATTATCTAGTCATGGTGTTAAAACAATAGTATTTGTCGAAAATTCAGAAGACGTATTTCTTTTACAAGAACTATCTCTTTATAGATTGACAGAAAACAAAGTAGAGACTAAAGTTAAAAATTTACCCTCTGTCGTAGATTTAATTCTTGTTGCATTGTGCGATGAAAATTCTTCAAAAATGGTTACTCCGGTAACTGTATGGGCAAATAATAACAGAGCACTTATTTTAGCTATTGAGCCACCATCTGTAGGTACACCAGGAATTTTAAGTAAATTTAGTTTAGTCGGTGCTTTACCGCTATCTCACAGTCTTGACAATGGTAGACTATATCTTTGTAATCTTGCTCTACCGAACAAAGTTTATTCTGATGTTGGAATTACTTATAGGTCTCCTTTCGGACCAAAATTTGTCATTCCTTTGCATTCCGATAATTCCTAGCAAATTTTTAATCAATATGTTGATTCTCCAAACAGTATCTTCAGATTTTAAAAGTTCTACTGATTTTTTTCTTTAACATTGTATACAATTCAAATAGGTATACCGTGTCACAGAAACGTACTTTAGGGACAGAGGATATTGTCCTCGTATTAAAAAAGCATAACATGTTGTGACATTTACTATGTAAATTATAGTTTTTCATAAGCATTTGCTAAGTCCAGCTTACATTACATTGAGGATGATATATTTGATATGTTTTAATAGAACAATATATTTATTGATACATCATACATTTATAATATTAAAATAATCACATTTATATAATCGGACAAAAATAAGCATAATTAATGCTGTAAATTAAATCATATAATTGCATTTGAGTTATATGCCGCTAAAGCTTTGTAAATGAGATGATACAAGCACGTAGCATGTACGATAATAGTTATAACAATCAGTGAAAAAGAAATTGTAATATTTTAATATGTATTAGATATTCTTTTGAAATGATCCATTTTATTTTTAATCAAAATTGTAGTTACTGAACATTATTTATTGTAAAGGTTCTTTTTTTCTGTTTGAAAGATTCAAATGTATTTTTACAATAGTTATTGATTTCTATGAAATCTATCGCATCATTGTTCATTTGGTTAGCATTTTCTGATATGTATTATTGAATTCCAAAAGTATATCTACATAAGAAAATTTTTCTTTTTTTCTACAGTCGAAGTTACTTTCTTAATGTATTTTTCTCTAATTAGGCATTAGATTTATCTTATCGTATATTACAAAAAATATTATGTGCACAATTATAATAGGATTAAATGCATTATATTGTTTTTGAAAATATCTAATTAGGCTCATATATTCCCTTTTCATTTCTAAAATAAATATAATTAATTAAATTAAAAGAATTTCAATATTTAAAATTTTTTATAATCGTGATGTATATGTAAAAAACAAAAGAATCATTCGTATAGAAAATACTAATTTCAAAAGTGTATGAACAACAAATTAATGTGCATTTTCTACATGATAGTATACTTGTGCGAATCGATCATTACAAAATGCTATGTTGCATTTTGTACGACTATTTGTTACAAACATTCAATATGCAAGTCATTTTAATTATAATTGTAAGTAATTTATTCATATTTTTTATACCTGCTTGTATATTCTTAAATTTATTCTACATTTAAGACATAACGGATCGTAACGCTATAAGCGATAAATTAGCAAGTAAAATATACCTAATTCTGTTTCTCGTGGTAAATCTTAATTAAGTTCTAAATGTTTCTATTAGGTGTATAAATTAAGTCGATCTGATACTTTATTTGAGTAAATAATAATAATAACAGTAATAGCAACTAGGCAAAAGAATAAATTTTTATGTTTCTAAAAATTTATTTTATTTATAATTTTTTATAACTTTGTATTTTAACATATTTTCTTTTTCTTTTTTTTCTTCTTTTTATTTTGATACACATAGATGTAACGAATCATTTCTCATTAAGATGCATAGTACTTTTAACAATAATTAATATAAGTACTTACAGTGTGTATATCCCTGTGTGATACTGGTCATACAGTTTTTTTTGGATCTATATTTGTTAGAAATTATATATGCATAATCATTCACGCATATTTAAAGAAAAAGCATAATATAAGAATACTTGTATTATAGAACAGTGTATACTGTATATCGGTGCATGATTGTTACTCGAGTTGTTGATGGCCTTCAAAAAAAAGGAAAGATAAAAGTAATAGTTTTATTAAGACTTCAATGAATGTGAAGTCAAAAATAATATATTAGGAGCATGAATGTTATGATTCATTATCTGAATTATATTTAAATTAAATGAATTATAACTTTTTCAAAGCACTAACTGTTATAAATATTCCGTTCGTTTAATTTGATTTTCTTATTGATTTTTGTTTAATAATAATAATAGCGATTAAAGTTAAATTTTAATCAGAAGAAATAATTCTATAAGAGAACATTCACATTTTTATTGTCAAGTTTTATAAATGCATGTCGAATCAGTTTATTCATTATAAAAATATAATTTTGTTGTCCAATTCGCTGTTCTTATAACTGAAAAAATATATGAGTGAATAAACGTTTAATTTAGAACAATTGTTTATAAGGCCAGTATTATCATGATATCAATAACTTCATATATCACCAGTCTTATTAGATAAGCTTTTTACTGACAATTATTTATAATTTTTTAAAAATATCTTTAATATTTGAAAATATAGCACCAATCTGGATAAATTCTACAAATGAATGATATACGATTCGTTTTCTCAACTACAAATTTGATATATACCCTAAAGAATATTTACAATTTTTTTAAATAGATATCAGTCACTTCTAAATAAACAGTCTGATCTATATTCTGTTTCTTAATATTTAGTTATTGATTGACGATATAATGAACATTTTCTCTAAAACTCTATACTAAATTTATTTATATAAAATATATAATCAAATCTATAGACACACACGTCATTCGCTATAATCGAGTGTGAATAGTTTTACTTGATCGATATTTTTTTTGTAATTTCTAAGTATATTCGTGTACCAACATTATGATTAATACATTTAAAGTAATTTGTTGTTTTTTTATTTCAACATATTGGTAAAAATATACTCTTCAAAGTATTATATTTTATATAATTTTATTCTCTATAATTGTTCTAATATATTCTCTCAACACTATACTTCTTAAAACTTCAGCGAAATGTCAAAAAGGAACACTAAACTCTTGTGTGTACATATATATAGATTGGATTATTAAGTATAAAACGTCCGAATTATTGTCAAAAATCGAACATTTCATACTTAATAGTCTAAAATATCAGGCAAAAATATTCATGGAATAGTGAGATGTTTAATAATACAAAGACCAGTGCGAAATGTTTAAGTAAACTGATTAATCCATTTATCAAATTGGTAGTCACATCAATTTTGGAACCATTCAGTGAATACTTCTTCCTAGAATCTCGTTGGTATATCACTTTGAGATATCATTCTACAATCATAATAAATAATTTCATACGAAAGCGATATAATATTTAACGATATCTAATTAGATATTATTTTATTTCCTGTTTCTAGTACTCTGTAGTTTGGACGGCTTAAAATGAACGTGATGTCAATTCTTGCTGTACTTCTATACTACGCGAAATTCAATTTCTAAAGATATATGCTTGAGTGTATATTATACCATGATTACATATATAACACTAAAATATTATTTTTAAAATGTCATTCCTTACGAGCATAAATATTCACTATTAACAAATTTGTGCTCCTTCTAGTACACTCTTCTTACATTCAATCACTCAAAGCTTTTTTCAGAATATATGATTAGGCCACTGTGAAGATTATCGTTCTCTAGAAAAAGAAATATTTATAAAATTGAATAATTTGTACTAAGTTTCAACAATTAATATACGTATATATCGTTGATGTGATACCGTCTAATCTATCGTTAGAAAAATGTTTATCAAATGAAAGATGTATACCTATCATTTCTTCAGCAAGTATTGTATATCATTTTATTTTTTCCTTTTACTTATATAACTTCTCTTTTCATATTTTCTATTTTCTTTTAATATATTAATGGTATTGTTATTTAAAAAATAATTTTCATCAGGCCGTAGAATTTTTGAAATCCATTAAAAAATATTGATAAATAATTAAAGCAAATTATGTACGAATATGAAGGATACATGCTGCTATCGCTGAAGAAAAATAATATTAACGTTTGTTGCGTCTGTAATTAATAAATTTTTCAAGTTATTTCATCGTTATATATAATAAATAAAATATATATTACAAATTGTACGATTGTTTAAAACAGAACGTTAGAACAACGCAGCATGTAATCCTTCATGCATAGATGCATGTGCACTCATATGCACACAATTGGCTTCTTTTATAATAGTTATCTACTTTGCAAGTTTGTTTCCTTTGCATGATGATGCAAGTCGTCAAAAAACAATCCGCATTGTAATAATGCTATATCTAATGCATCTGCGTATCAAAAATTGCCAGTTTTTTCTGGCTCGTAGAACATCCTCCTAGGAAGCTGGTGTAGGATTAGCAGTTGGTGGAATAGCGCTTGCTTGTTTAGCACGTCTACGTTTGTTTAATAATGGATTGTTGCTATGATCGAGTTGTTTAAGATTTGCCGTATCATAATCTACTCGCATTGTAGCTAACGAACGGGTCATTTCTTCTTGTACTTCGGGCCAAAGTTCTTCACCTTCTCTTAGTACACGACCAGTGTGCAATGGTGTAGGAGGCACTTCTGTGTATTTCTGTAAACAAATATATCATTTTTATTCATTCTATAGATGATTGTAAAAGTAGTTTAATTCACATTATTTTCGTTTTGATATATTTTTATATTTGACATTGAATTATAAAAAATTTTCTTTTTTTATTATAATAAGCAAAAAAACAAACTAATTGTAAGCGCATTTATTCTTGACAAATGGTTTAACTGTTAATGATGAAATATCTCAAATAACTTATACTACTTTTATAATTATCAGATCAATCGTTTAAAAATAAATTAGATAATTCAACTTACGGCAATCCATTTATTGCGCATCACTTCGTCTATTTGCAATCTCTGCGCCGGATCCGTGCATAACATTCCTTTTATGAGATCGCGAGCTTGTACACTTACATTCGACCATTCTGGAGAAGGAAAATCATATTGACCCAAACGAATTCTTTTTTTCATTCCAGGTGATATCGCTAAACCGTGATTACTATAAAACGGTGGAAAGCCGCATAATCTGTGAATTTTATAAACAATTTTATAGATATAAACGTTGACAAATTTGTCTTTGTTTTCAATTACGAAATTCACTTACAGTATATACATTATTACACCGAGCGACCAAATATCGCAACTTTTATCGTATTTTTCCGGTCCCAGAACTTCTGGAGCTAAAATATTACAAAATAAAGCGCATAAAATTTATCGTAAAACATATTTTTTAGTAATAAGAAAAATACCTTAATTATTGATCTATATAAATATATGTAATAATAATAAAACAAAAAGAATATTTACCAACATAATATGGCGTATAACAAGGAGTCTGTAAATTATCTTTCATATGTGTTTCTTTGGCAAATCCAAAATCGGTTAATTTTAAAATTCCCGTTCTGTCTGTATGAAAATAAAGAAATCAATTGAAATTTAACTAAAACAGGGATTAAAATTAATGTGCTTATGATTTTTCATTTACCTGGTTTGGAATACAAAAGATTTTCCGGTTTGAGATCTCTGTGAGCAATATTCATATCATGCAGATGTTTTACCGCTACACATATTTCGTACATTATTTGTGCAGCTTCTGTAAATATTTAAATAATATCCACGTTATCGTACAAAAAAAAAGAAAAAAAGAAACGAAAGAAGAAAAAAGATTGTGAAATTGCATATTTCTTTTAATATTACACATACCCCTTTCCGTAAAAGCACAGTCTTGCCGATCTTGAATCCTTTGAAATAATTCGCCACCTTCCATGCTAGACAGAACAAAAAATTACAATAAATAACTATTTTTCATAGGTCCGATATTAATAAAAGTCCAATTAAATTGTTACTCACCATTCCATTACCACAAGTAAGCATTTGTTGCCACTATACGAATTTTCATATACATCTTTTACTTGAACTATGTGTCTGCAATTGGATGCTCTCCAATGTAATTCTACTTCTCTTCTCGCTTTGACACAATCGTGTAAAACCTAGAAATGAACAAAATATTCTCTATGTTACATACTCGAGAAATTTAATATTCATGCATTAGTAAGATCATTCAATTAGGTGTTTAACATCTTCAATGTGATTCAAATTAAAACTTCTGGAAATTTTAAAGAAGAAGAAGAGAGAGAGAAGGAAGATATAAAAAATACTTTTCTTAAACACGCCTCGTGCCGTACTCTATTTATTAGAAACATCCACGTCATCAGCAAAATTCTTTTCTCGGGAGAAGCAATTTTTTATCTCCTCTTCTATTTTAGCTATTTCCAACAAACCGACGTAATCACCAGTGTAAACTTAAAAATGCGAAGGTGAAAAAATGAGAGTAAACAAACATCCGAATTGATAAATGACGACTTTACACGTAGATGAACAATACATACGTATACGCGTATCACTAAAGTAAATTAAATCGGCGGGGAGTACAAAGAGATTAAATGGTTTTTCAAAAAAAAAAAAAAAAAAGAAAAAAATCATCTCTCTCGACAAAGATACGAAGAATATTTTTCATTTGCGATGACTAATACTTCGTTAGTTTATTCCAATGTAAAAGATATTTAAATAAATAATACTTAATTATATAAGGTGCTGTGCACGCTTACATGCATGTATATATATATATATAATATTTTAATTATATTTTAGAATAATTTCGATAAGGTTTTTTTGGAACCAACATAAAATGACACGCACCTGTGATCTATGTTAAAAATCCGTAGGTATGTGATACGTTTCTCTACTTATGACATGTGTCTATGAAAAATGCATGCAAATGCAATTCACACATTCGAAGAACTAAGCATACGCGTATACATGAAACTCGAAGAAATGTATGTGTTTGTACGCGCAGGAAACAGCATTCCACTTATACTTCGTAACGCCGACTTTGTACTTCTTGTTTTTCTTTGTATATCAAGAAATTTTATCTGCGCAGAAAACTTTTAATGATTTTCTTAAGTGTAAATTTCCACGTTAATACTCCTCGTGCAATTTGACAAATTCGCGACTATTCAATTTTTATTTTTACCTTTAGAATAAAATGTATACATTCAAACGAAAACATCGTAAATGTTTTTTTACGTTTTCCTAAGTTCGTTCATTATAAGAATTACTGCAATCTAGGGTTTCCTCATCCATTAACTTTTAATGAATACTTAAAAGAAATCATTTACGTTATTTTATTACTCTTCAAGTTGTTCAATTCATTTTAAAAACGATCAAATATAGCTTGTGTATTAATGAATTTAATAATTTCAATGTTAAACAGAGAAACGAATCGTAAAATCGTTCAAGATTTGACGTCTCGTAAATGATCTATGTGAAAACTTAACATTGTTAAATACCAATGTATTTCTAAATATATATCACGATGCGTGCGCGTGTGTGTATGTCACTGGCAACGACTGCTTATTAAGTAATGAGACTTGAAATAACGAAGATCGGAACGGGAACTATACCGATTGTGAGAAAAATTGATGTCGTGTGTCATTCGAGCATAAGACGAACGATACCATTTTTCTTTTAATTAAAATCTATTATTGCAGCATATTCATACACACACACACAGAGGGAAAGAATAAATTACGAGACGTTAGCAAACGGATAGTATTTTTAATTTATACATTTCTCATCGACATAATAATTTATCAATACGTTTAATTTCGTATCACAATCTAGACTTTGCGATTTAGAAAGGAAAAAAACAGCGATTTAAAAAAAAAAAATGGAGAAAAAGATTTTCGTCACTTTTATTTTTGTTTGTACTCTAACAAATATTTAACGTCGAATCAAAAAATAAACGTGATAAGAAATCACGCAGTTGACCGGCGAACCGTTTATTTGTAACATTAACGTTTTCATCGCGTGCCCGATCTAAAAATAATATTCAAAGGTTATGTCGCGTTTCTTCACGTTCTGAATTTGAAAGAAAGTCGTCGAAACTGGTTTTCATTCAGATCATCTCTCTACGTCATTAAACGATACTAACATCGTTGATAATGACGACTCTTCCTCTTTCCGTATAAACGAAAACTGCATTATGCAGAAAGATAAGAAATTGTTATTTTATTTAAATTGCAATTTTTCAACTAAGAACGGTTAATACAATTTTTATTAAAAATTTCTAGATACTAATGAAATCCTGTTTAACACCTTAACACGCCTACTTCGTTACTTCTTTCTATCTAATTCTAACACCTTTGATATTTTCAGGCTTTTTACGTATTCATAACTGTACTCCCAACTTCCGCATTTCCATCGAACTCTCATCTCGAATATTTCTTAAGAAAGTATATATATATATATATATTCATATACATCTGTACCTGTCTGTAGAGGATGTTTCGGTATAACTCTCTTCTACACCTGCTTTTTAAATGTGATAGGGAACATGTGTAATTAAATACTTGTTTGTAATAAAATATTATCAAGAAATGCTTATGCATCGAAATAATACTACATGGGATTGCACGCGTTCTTTATATATGACACCACTTGATATTTGAATCCGGAATCAAATCATTAATAGTTTATGGTAGACATACAAATTTCTAGAATAATTATTCTTCATTTGAAAACTATTTAATGGAACACGATTCCTGTTGTATACATATTTTTTTAAAAAAAAGTAGAAAGACCTACGAGATTGCATCGAGTGCAAAGGGTCAAACTAGACCAACATCGATGTTCAATATTATTCAATTGCATCGTCATTCTCCGTTGCCATAAAAGGAAATAAGAAAAAGCTTGAGAACAACATCGAAGACGATCAAAGTTTTCGTAATAAGATTAATATCATTGCGGTTTGAATCAATGAAACAAAATTACAACATTAATACGAAAAACCGTGTCTCCGAGATTAATTCATTTCAATGAAGAATACCGTTTGTTACAAAACTTGTTGAAAAAAAATCGCATAACAACGGAAGAAAATGTCAGTTCTAGAATACGGCCTTTAATTTTTTCGTTTTTTCGTTTTTTTTTTTCTATAAACTCACTGTTCTTCTTCATGACAGAATATCTTTAAAATGTAAATGACAGTATTTCGTTTTATAGGATTTCTTTTAACTCGTTTAACTTTATAGAATGTTGATTAAATTTTTGAAAAATAATGCATCGAGTATAAATTTCAAAAATGCTATTTCTTATTAAATTAAACTGAATAATATATTTTTGTATGATCAAATATAATTGGATATAATTGGATATAATAAAATATATATATAAAAGATATAAATATAGAAGCATTTAAGAAAATAGCAAACCAAGTTTTTACAAGGCAAACAACGAAAAGTAAAATCGTAATATGCGGTTTGTAAGTGGTGGCCGTTTGAAGGCTTACAGCCGGGTATCAATCAACGAGGACGAATTGACAGTAAAAAAGTAGGTTGCAGACGGTGCATGATACGGCACAAAAGACGCGACATTAACAAACTTATTCGCACATTTTTCTTTACTCGACTACGTATAAATATTTGTAAGTAAATGCTCATGTGATTTATGTTTGAAAAAAAGGAATGCGAATAATAATAGGAAGAAGACCCATACAACACATTTGTATTCGAATGATTCTAAATTTCGCGATTTCTTTTTTTTTTTTCTTCAACATTGACCAAGTATAAATATTTGCGAATAGTATTCGTCATTTTCATTGAGAAAGTAATAAGAAAAAAAAAAAAAAAAGAAAAACTACGAAGAACTATATTTTTATTGAATATATTTCATTAGTTCTTATTAGAGCCATTGGTCATTATCGTATCTAACAACTATTTATTTGCGCAGATGATAAGTAACCTGAGGTTTTCTCTTTTTTTTCCCGATAAATGCATTACTTGATATGCATTAATTGAGCTGTAAAATACAGGACGCGTTGCATCGAATCAAATCGTAAAAATATGCGAAAGCAAACGTTGTACATTTAACACACGACAATATCTCTCTCGAAAGTAAATAAAAAATATATGAAGTGTAGTAAAAGTTTTTCCTTACACATGACAAATAATATACACGTAAACAAGTTCGTATATTTATGTTTTCGATATGACTAAGTGAGTACCGTTTAACAAATAGCATATTAACGACTAATACTGCTTATTGCATAGGATAGAAATAATTAGGTAATTAGCAATTCGCAAACATTGTTTGTTATCACGTCAATCTTTATAGGATTCCCCTTTTGACTTTGGAATATTTTCAATTGAGAATCCGAATGATAACTGGGAACGGCATTTTAACCATTTCGGTTGGTGGAGAGCATGAGATCATCACGTTGTTTAGGCACCAACACATGTATATCTCTGACTTATCGGTACGTTACGACCTATGCAACTATTCGAAGCATTCAATAACCAATATTCCTCTTACTTATGTAGATATATATATATATATGTGTGTGTGTACTCCTTTTAAAGTCATCGCGAGGTAAGATCGAATCTCGCGAAAATGATGTTAATTTATTAGTCATCGATAAATTTGATCTAACACAATATCATCGTACCTTAGAACAGAGCTTCCAATATTTTTACGATCCGAGATCTACTTTCGAAAAGAATACTTTTCCGCGAATCACTCGAAAGTATCGTGTTATTTGTTGTCGATTGATAAGCAGAAATCAATGAGTTAATACAAATTAAACAAAAATAATAATCATCGTAGATAATCTTTGTTAAAATGTTCCAATTATGAACGCGTATAAATTAGTATCATATCTTACTATAAAACTCTATCCAAATTTTCACAAATCTCTGGTTTTAAGGTAATCACCAAAATCAATGTTATTAACGGAGTTGAAGATAGATTTATTTTATTATTTGTAATGTGTTTTCCGAGAATTCGTATCGCATGACGTCAACCCATGACGAAATCGATCTTAAAGAATGAAAAAAAGAAAAGGAAAAAGAAAAAGTGTAAGCAATCGTGCAGGAAATACCGGTGTTAACTCGTAAAATTGTGCTCGATGGGATAAAGAATCGGTCGCGGAACACGTGTACGAAGAGAGTATTTTCCATGATTCGCGTAATCGGTCATCGGCACTCTTATATGTGTGTATATATTATCTTTATTCGAGATCAACCGCTTTGCTCGTATAACGACCGTGGAAAGAATGCCTTGAACAGCTGCATTTATATTCGAACCAGTTATTTCATGATTTCTAAATAAAGTTTTCAATTCCAAAGCTCAATATGTAAATCTAATATATATATTCTAGATTTGGCAAATAATTAAATAAATAATAAGTAATAGTAATATTTTTGTTACCGATCGTTTTTTATAATACTCAAATTGAAATTGATTAATTCCAATATTACGGTGTGTGTTATATATAGATAATATAAAATACAAAAAAACTTCCGCGACACTCTGTTTAATGGCTATTCCAATATTAATCGGTCTTATCAAGAAAAATCATTTTATCAGAGAATTATTGATTAAATATCATGACGTATATTGAGAAAAACACGTCATGTTCGGCACGGATCGACAATATATATTTGAATCTTGATGATAAAGGAAACAAAAGGATAAGACGTAAATGTATAGCTTCGTGTTATACCGAACGAATGGGAAATCACTGGGTATAAATAGAGGATGACTCGTGGTCTGGACTTGCTTGTTGGATATCGTTAGTCGATGATGATCGCACCTTCTCGTAGCACAAGTGGATATCTAACATAAGAGCGCATTGACAAGATAGATCGATGCTCTTACGCGGGAAAAAAAGACTCCTACGAAAAGAAAGAAAAAAAAAAAAAAAGAAAAAAAATGGTTTAATGCCTCTAATGGAAACACGTGCCATCTTTCTTTCGTAACTTAGTCGGTTCGACGTTTAAAAAATAAACAGAGTCGTAGGGTAATACATGCATATATACATATGCATATATGCTTACCTATAACACGTGACGTCGTGATATATACATATCTTCATTTTTTTTTTTTTTTTTTTTTTTTTTTTTTTTTTTTTTTTTTTTTCAAAGTAATCATTATTTAGATTCTTCGAACGTTTGGAATAAGGAAAAGAAACTAAACAAACTTTAAAGAGTTGGCTCTCGTTAAAACGAATATACAAATCTCTTTACTATCCTATCTTAACCCTGTGCGTTTGAATTATCAACACTGCTGGTATAACAAAAAGATAATAATAAAAAGACACATATGTACGAAAAACGTAGAACAAATTACTAACAGATGTAAGAAGCTTAAAGATTGTTATTAGTATAATTAAAAGAGAACAATGTTTTGACATTAGTATCCAACAATTGGAATAAAACTTTTGCAGTTGTGTTATAATCAGTAATGTCGGTAATTGAAGGGAAAAATATTTAAATGCAATGATACTAAATGAAAATCATTCTTACCTTTAGGGCATACTTTTCCCTAGTTTTTCTATCGTAACACTGTACGACCTTTCCGTTAATACCAAGACCCAAAACGTGATTACTGATCTCGTAATCGTCAGTTATCGGGCTCATTTTTGGAAGACGCGCGTCACATTTAGGTAACATATTCTCCATCATTTTTCTTTTGCTATCCTGACTCGTACCAGTAGTCTCACACTTTTTACGAATTATCGTATCCTTATCTTCCTCCTCGTGTTTACGTTTACCCTTATTCGACTCTTCTTTTTCTTCCTTTTTTTGTTCCACTGCAGCCCTCTTTGGCTTTCTGCAAAATATAATATCATCATGCTAGTCGTGTGTGATCATTGTAGCAATGTAACGTTTAAGATACATAATCCTTTATGAACAAATAAGTTTAATGATTAATTGATGAATAATCCGTTTTCAGTGATATAAGAAAATGAGAGGGATCGTTAATTAATGTGATATTCTTATTGCAATGTGATAATGAAATATTTCAAAAGTATGGGTTAACGAAGATCCCTCGTATATACCGAACAAGATGAACGTATAAACGCATTACGCGTATTTCCTATAGATATTATGGCTCGTTAAATGATTTGCTCGTAATGGCGCGCGCAAAGTGATAGTGTCATTACGTCATAAATCGTAACTTCGTTTTGACGCACGCTTCCCAACGACGCTCTACATCTTCTTTCAATTCTACAATAGCATAATGCATAATAAATGCAGTATGTATAAATGAATAAATGAGTAAATGGATAAACGTATCGTACGATAAGCGTTTCAGTAAGCTATTCATTCGATCTCTCAATATAACTTTCATTTATCGATCTTTAGCTTACGATTAAATATTCATACTATTATAAATATTATATTAAAAGTATCGTTCTCCCACGTAGGATCGATAAAGTCTACCTTTACAAAATTCTAGTAATATTTAGTAAAAAGATTAAAGAAAATAAAAAAGAATTCAAAGAAATGCAAGTCATGGTAGTATGAGTAGCAATAGGATTGTGTTAACGATTAAAATAAAATCATTCGATTGTTTCATTCAATTATTAATAAGGCTTTTGTAGCGAAATGATAAAAAAAATAGTAAAAAATGCACACACACAGGGAGCATTAAAATAAAAAAATAACACAATGCCGGGTTTCGATCCAATCGCAGTGTAATGATGCACGACGAACGAGCCATCGCCATTGGTGCGTCTTTTCAACGATACAATGAACCGACCAATAGGAAAGCAATAGTTTCAACGACGTTGCGGCATTGCGGTCGCTATACGAACAATAAATCGACCATAGGATGTAATATACATGTGCGTAAAGAAGATATCGAATACATATATGTATTTATGTATATACAATACTCGTAAATGTTTCGCGATAAAATTGATCGGATATACGATAAATGAAATTTTATTATGCTTTCATATTCAAGACCGATTGTGAGAGAGAAAACAATTAAAATTTGAACATTAACGATGATAAATAAAAGAGAGAATGAGAAGAAAATAATAAATTGGCAAGGTTAAGATAGAGACCTCCAGAACCTCCACTTAGAACCAGACTTCGGCATGAGTGCGTAGTATATGGAAAAATATTCTCTCGAGGTAAACTATTAAAGCTTAATTTTGAAAATCCCGCCTTTTTCCTTTTTCGAAAGCAAAAAGCTTCTAGAAAATGCACGTCCCTGGATAAGCGGAGAAAGGAAGAAAACACGAACACACGCGCACCCACAAAGAAAGAGAGAGAGAGGGAGAAAAATAAAGAAGCTTTTCAAACGTGTTCGATTACTAAATAGTCGATTATCAACCGTGTCTTTAAGGTGAAAACTAAAGAGAAATCGAGCCAAATGAAGTTACGTTGTCGTCAGATCGAGTTGGCGCGCGACTCGATATTCGCGGGTCTTTCCATTGGAACGTATTTAAAAAGAAAAAGAAAAAAAAAAGAAGCAGTTAGTGTTTCTCGTCTTTCTCTTTCTATTAGTCGTCGCAAAGATGCGCGCGCATCGGAAACGCGACAAACGTTCTTTCGGATTGACGACGCGTTTCTCGACGAAAACGAGACTGAATAAGATTCTTTCGTGATCATCCTGTTATGCAAGAACCTCTTGACGATCATAAACGTTTATCAAATTATCAGAGCAAATCTGATGGTTAAGATAAAACGATTATACCGCTTAAAGGTATACTGTTTTTGTCCTCTCTATCTATCATCCATCTATCTCTTTCGCTCGTTCTTCTTTTTTCCTCCCTCTCTTTTCTCTTTTTATATTCCCCCCACCATACCGCGCTCTTTACCGGGAGGAAACTTTCGTCGAAATTATTCAGAATGGCGAAGGAGGTTGCACGATGCGGAGACCCGATAGATGATTATATACACATACGTATTATGTATTAAAATATTATACTATATATACTTCGAACTAAATTACAAAAATTACATTTTGATTCGAATGAAAAGGGTTCGAAATTAAAAGTAATCATTAAAACGAACCGCCTTTTTTTTTTTTCTTTTGTTTTCTTTTTCTTTTCTCATACTTTTTGCGCAAATATTGTAATACGTGTTTTCTGGCTTAAAGGTTCCCCTTGGATTTCGAATAAAATAATATTTGCCGCGAAAAGAATAATTTTATCGTGGTTAATTCATATCCACGGTTAGAAGGAAATGTATCAAACCGTAGTTTCATTTTCCCTTTTTGATAAGCTAATCATTTTCTCTCCGTTAAACGCAATTTACCTAGTATAACAATATATTTTGCACACCATTGACAATTAATCAATTAAAAGATAAATAAATAATGTAGAAAAAGACACAATAAACGAAGATTAAACAGATGGGATCTTAAACACTCACGATTATATTCACACTTATTCTTCTTTTCCCTTGATTGATTGATCGATCGATCTATCGATCGATTAATTGGTCGATTGATTTATTTATAACGATGAAACGCGTGCGAACACAAAAACACAAACAACACAAGTATCATTGCTCTATTCTGCTTACTTTTTGTTTCTTTTTTTTTTTCGTTCGAACGACAGCAAAAATTCGACTGACGACGACGTTCCACGACGAAGAAGAATATTATTTGTTTTCTTTTTAAAAAAAAAAATAAGAAACCAGTTCGTCTACCTGTGTACCATGCGCTCACCCTTAAATCCTTTTAAGGAAGAACTAAGGGTACCTATATAACACGCGTAGAAATAATGACAAAATAATTAAATAGGGCTTCGCGCGTTATATATATATATCTCTCTCTCTTTCTCTTGTTATTTCTTTTTCTTAATCCGTCTCCTCCTCTTTAATAATGTCTTTCAACGAGAGTCACAAATGAAAATTTATCGAACACTTTTCTTTTCATGATAATCCGCGAACGATGAACGATAAGATATTCGTCAGTGATTCTCGTTGCTACCGGTAGACCGACTAATGAACGGTATTTTTTCGAACCTCCGAACCAAACCTCATCAAACCGCACCACCTCTCTCCACGCTCTCAGAGTGGTTTCCTCTTCGGGCAGCACGAAAAACCAATTCACAAAGTACACATGCATGCACGCACCACGCACGCATATAAAAATGATGAGAGAGAGAGAGAAAGAGGGACAGACAAGGAACGGGCCTTCGAGGCGCCTCTACAGGCAATCTTAGGATATGACTCACACGCCTCAGGGCCGTATCTATACTCAGACATTGTAAGGTTCCTTCCTTTCAAGAGTTTGACTCTCCTCGTCATCATACTTCTTCTCTTCCTCCTTCTCCTCCTCCTCCTCACCTTTCCGTACCATCGTCATTCTTTTCCTTCTCTTTCCACTTATTCACTCAGATATTTTTATGATCGTACCATCTCTCTTCCTCTTTCCCTCTCTACCAAACTGACATGAGTGAAACTTTCACTTCCAAGAGTAAGTCGCGTCATTCTTGAAAAAATTCGAATGAAAATTCGAATCACGAGACTTGCTTGCTCGCTTAAAAGGAACTTCGCAATATTATTATTGACCATGTTTTACTTCATAGATATCTTCTATGATTACATATTTTCTTACCTACGATTATTATCTTTGACTTTTTTTTTTATTTCTTTCCTCGTTATTTTTTCTTTTTAAATTGTGATACGAGTTACGACTACGAGAACATTTATTATTTTATCGGTGAATTATTCGAAGGGAGAAACCATTACTAATAACAGGAATAACAATACGGTACTCTTTTTATGAGATAATATAAACTTTATTATTATTATTATTAATATTATTATTTTTGTTTCATTTTTATTTTACCTCAAATAATTCGCTTATTCTCTTGCGATTTTAGTGTACTTAAGAATACTTATATATATATTTATAATATATAATATATATTATACATCTATATAATATATATTATACATCTATATAATATATATTATATATTATAAATATGTATATATTTATATATTTACACAGAAAACTTTACCAACGTAGGAAAAAGAGACGCTATGAATTTCAGGTCTCTCTGATCGAAAAAAAGTATTATTTTTAGTTAGTTAGTTCGTTAGTTGGTTACTTACTTACTTACGTGTATTAATTACAAAATTTAAACCGATATAAATATTTTGATATATATATAGGCACATTTTTCTATGTACATCTTAGTTATCCTCGTTCCTTTTTAAACTTCTTATTGTCCATCGACTAATTGATGCACTAAAGATATACTGTTTCAACATCTTGTAACACACGAAAATAGTTGTATGTATACGTTTAAACTTCATGTAATTTAACATTATATAAGAATATGTCGTGCGTGCAATCATTAATTCAGTTTTGAATACTGACTCACTTTATCTAACATTTTAGTACTATTTTATAAGGTGTTACTTTATAATACTTTGTACAGACTTAATTTAGTAAGATTTCCTTTTATCGAGATAATTAATTGTTGTTATTGTTAATTTTATGAATTATTTAACAAGAGTTAAACCTATTCATATATTACATATCATATTAATACATATAGAATTTTTAAAATATATTCTATGACTTTATTTAACTATATGAAAAAATATCTCTAAATGTGAATTTTAACACCCTGTGCACTAAAAATTAGTCTAATTCTAAAATATTATTATCTTTTAAAAATGAGATACCCCTTACCTTTACAATAAAGATAAGTGTAAAAGTAACGTTTATAAAAATATTTATAATTATGTCTATTTCGATATAAGATCGTTCCCTTTGATAATTAATTAAGCGCGATAATAAAATATGAAATGTTTTTTACACGTAATTAAGTAAGCACATATGTGATCTTTCTATTTTCTTAATCTATATTAAGTATGCATGCTATTCGTAAGAACACTGTATATATAATATATACACTGTCCTTTTTATAAACACAACTGTCTATTGCTCAATGTACTTTTTCATGTGGACTTGACAATAATCGTAAATAATGTAAAAATAATAAACCTTGCGATAAAATTGTTCTTATGTTATTAGATTATAATATTATGAAAATTTGTATCAAAGATTAAAAACAAAAATATTGCGAAAAATGCGGTATTATCAGTCACTTATATTCACATGAATAAGTAAAAGAATCATGTATAAATCAATGATTACAATGACGTGATCCAAATTGGATTTTTTTCTTTTAAAAATATATATAATTTTTATAAAATATTTATCCTTGAAAAAGAAATCTTTTAATATTTTGAATAATTAAAATTATTTTCTCTCTCTCGTAATTACTAGTTCGTATTTTGATTTGGTTGCAATATCTATTAAATTTTTTCTTTCAAATTATCTTAATTTAGTTATGAATGTTTCTAATATCCTGTATGAAATAGCTTTTTCTTTTCTTGTTCGCTTGAAACTTTTTTTATTAAATTATGTGATGAAAGAAATTGCCTTAAAAATTTTGTAACAGTAAAATAAAATCGTAATTTTTATGTAACATAAAATACAAATTAACTACCACTTTGGTAAGAGGCAACGCCCTTACTAGTAATAAATTATGAAATATTATTGTCTTAAAAAATATGAATACGTAAAATACAAATATTTCATTGTTTAGAAGAAGTTGCTATAGAGCATATAGGATATAAGACAATATTTCGCATACAATATATTATTGCAAGGCACTCTTACTTTAAGTTAGTTAATGTTTCAAAATTATCATTTAATATCTTTCACAAAATATTTAAATTCGATCAGATATCGACCAATTATTATTGCATAAATTCAATTAATTTAACATAACATATTATAACAATATATCCGAGAATATCACAAATAAATGTTTCCTTTTAACAACAGGAAGATAATTGATAACTGTTTTTTACAGGATATATAAAAATACATTGTGCTCTATAGATCTTCTTATATATATATATATTATATATATATTATATTATATATATAATATATAATAATATATATTTATCCTTATAGAAAAATATACTATTATATAAGCATCCTGTGATAATTTATAAATATATCACCTTTTCAGGTCACGACTTACATTGCACTAATAGTAATTGTCACCCCTTGTGACTTTCAGGTTCTGATTTACAATCTTGCATGGTCAGAATATAAGGCACTACACTAGCTACGCTTACTCTACCAATAAGACCCGCAAAAAAAAGGTCTTCTAACACTCTAGGGTTAATGGTACGAAGAGGTGCAAGTTTTAATAAAAGACGAGGTAATCTATCAGATCCTACTCGTTGTTGTAATTCCGTCCATGCTGCTTCCTGTAGGGCTTCAACCTTTTTACGCCAAATACCAACCAGCACATTATCTGACAACATAGTAAAACAATAAATAAGAAACTCTTGAATTATTCTTATTTCATTCGAGAGATTTACTTACCCGCGCTGAAGAGCGTTAAGGCTTTAAGATAGGCGTATTCGACGGAATCTACTTGTAATTTGTGAAGAGAACTAACGCAGTCTTGTAATCTGCATATATGTTCTGTAACGGATTTCACTTTACTAGCAGTAATTTTTTCTTGCGTGATACTAGTTTGTAGATGATTTATAATGGATGTCAGAATACTAGGAAGGGATAAAGTATATGCACACTGTGCTAAGCCCAATGTAAATAACTGTCCCCAACAACTACGCACCAACGTAGTTTGGATTTCTGATCTAAAAAGATCACACTCGTTTTTATCAAATATATTTTGCATATTACAATTTGTTTATTTACAGAGTACTTACGGTAGGGCTTGAAAAGCAGGAATCCCTCTTGCCCAATGTACAGACAAAAATAATAGCCTTGCTGCACTTTCACAGATGTAATGTATAGATAAGTATGCAGGTGCAGGGCTAGGTGCTCTCAGCTCGAACAATGTATGCCTCTCTGAGATTAACTGACCTGTCCACTCTTCGTCTGGTTCACTGGAACCATTTACACCCTACAAGAAACAATGTACTATTTTAACTTCACAATATTTGTCTAATAGTTTTCACATATATATATATATATAAATATATGTATGTATAAATGAAACGTACATCCCCAATAAATTTTGCTATACTATCCAATGCATGAGATATTAATAAACGGTCCCTAGCAAACGTCAAAGCATCGCTCAAATCACTATCGCTGCTTTGGTCTTCCATACAAGGACTCTCAGGCTGTTCCCAAGTTTGAGGAGCTTCGGGTACTGGTTGTTGTGGTTCTGGTTTGACTCTAGGACTACGACTTCCAACTTTAGCCCCAGCAGTTTCTCCTAATACTGGTTTTCGTTCGTGCTGAACGGCTACAACACCCCAAGCTGGATCATGTTTATTATATCCCCCAAAAACATGCGATACAAAAAAAATATTTGAATAATTAATTAAAGGGATTGTATCCACTTACAGTCACTTCTCATACCCATTGCTAGGCACTTTTGAAGCCTACAATATTGGCAGCGGTTCCTATGGTGTTTGGTAACTTCGCAACTTTTACTTCCTCTACATTGGTAACCTAGTTGCTTACGGATGCTACGTTTGAAAAAACCTTTACAGCCTTCGCAACTTATAGCTCCATAATGTCTACCACTTGCTCGATCTCCACATACAACACATAATTCTAGGGATAATCCTAAACCTAAGGAACCTCTAACGTCTCTTGACAATTTAACCTGAAAATTTATTTATAACTTCAAAATGAAATACAATCACATAGATATATGTAAAAGAGAATTCTTACCTCTACATCGACATTATTCAAGTGTTCTATGCCAGAGGGTAAATGAAGCATGGCTGGATGATGTCCTATATTGCGATAATCTCTACTCATTTTATGGTCTATTTTATCATCATGCAAGTTATCCATGTGATTGTTCTGATCTCTCTCAATATCTCTCTAAAAAAAAAAGCAAACGTTAAAAACTTTGGAATATGCATAAAATGGAACGAAGGTCTAAGTGATATATCTCATAAACGTTTATCACACAAACGCAAAGACTTATTCAGCAGGCATGTACCATAGCTGGATGATGCTCTAAATAGTGAAAATTTCTTTCCAACATTTGATCCGTTTTATCGTCGTGCAAGTTTTCAGGCCGATCATTTTGATCGATTTCCATATCTCTCTGTGACATAACGATAAACGTTCAAGTATGCTATAATCGACAATAATTTCATCGAATTCGTTTATCTCTATTAGACTTGTTGACAAAATATTAAAGAAAAATATTGAAACATAGAAAAGAAATGCACCTCAGAGTCAGCATCCATCGAGTGATCAGGTACTCCATGATGAGAATGGGAGATACTACGAAAATCCATTCCACTTTTCCGTTCTCCTTCGTTCTCATTAGGATTATCATGATCACGCAGATCTCTATGCTCCCTATCCATTTCTCCCTGTAAATAAGACGGCAGTCAAGTATGTAGTACAAAACAAGCAAACGTTCTCGATTATCGATGATAACAATTGAAAAGTTTCAGATTATCATGATCGATTAGAGGTAAATAATAAAGGAGGAGGTAAAAAATAAAGATAAATACAAATTTTGCGGTGAATCGAGAAAGACAAAGTAAAACGTGATATAATATCTATCTATACTTTTGATGGAAAGGGTGGAGGAGGAAGAGGAGAAGTAGGAGGTGAAGTTTAGGAGCTAGCAATATAAAAACATTAAACTGGAGCAGCATTCGTCCCCTCTCTCTCTCTCTCACTCTCTGTGTTTCTTTGCCTTCCCCCACCTGCCGTAAACCCTCACCCCTACCATTTTAAGAAGTGAAAGAGATGGTCCCAAGTGGCTCGGTTCGTAGGTTGCTACGCGCGGGTTTGCTGGATGTCGGATACACGCGGCTACCTTACTATACCTTCTGTCATAGAACAGCAAGCGGTCCATTTCCATACACCCATGAACCGAATACTCTCAGTGTCGTGTCTATCTATTACTGGTACCCCTACCTTATTCTCAAGACGTAATTAACTCACTTGCTTACTACAACAATTTCAAATACTTCCTTCACACATACACACTATCATACACATTCGTTCGTTTCGTTCAATGCATGCTTTCAGCATACTTAACAGTATTTACGAAAATTTGACACGAATTCGCTAGATATATATACTCGTGAATTTAACTGTAAAAACTAAGAGAGAGAGAGAGAGAGAGAGAGAGAAATACGGTCGAATAAAAATCTTTCCTTTACATGCTGCGTCATAATCGTGTTATATAGAAAATTGTATCCATATTGAATTACATATGCGCTTAAAAATTATAACTTGATAGTTAATGTCAGTTTTATGTCAGAAGTTAGAATTTTTTCAAATTGTTACTTTTTTATTCCTTCGCGAAAGCATCACGACCGAAGGCGGGATTTTCAAATCGAATCGTGGAATCGGTCGCGCATTGTGCAGATAAACGCGAGTTTCCTTGGAATTGATAGTATATTAGATTACGTGATTTCACGGAAGATTACGCGAAGAAAAATAAAAAAAAAAGATGAATGTAACGATCGACGTGACACAGCTGCAATGAAAAGAGAAACGAAAGGTATACGGTTTGCGCTTATCGTTAACGCTTGCTAGAAAAATGTCATGGCCATAACCCGTTAGATTTCGTTACTTTATTCTTTTTCTCTACTTTAAGTCATGTGATATAAAACAAAACTACGATAAAAAAAAGAAAATAAAAAGAGCAAGAAACGTCGACAATTCCGTAGCCTCGATTCGGCGAGTTACACTCGCCGTGTGGTACCCCGTTGTACGGAAAGGTCAATTGAGGCGTGTATTACGTTTCCTTTTTTTTTTATCTTTTTTCTTTCTTCCTTTCTCTCTCTCACTTTTGATCTAAATGTAATTTTTATTCTTATTCTTTGAAAAATCCGTCGACATAGTTAATAAAACTGTTAAAGTGTGCTGAGAACTCACGAAAGATAGTAAAAGAGGAAGAAGAAGAAGAAGACTCGCCGATCCGATTCCGAAGGAAGGTATGAATATAATCCTAGCTCTCCTAGAGTAGGAAGAAGTTTGCTTTTCCAGCAAAGCAAACGTACCGAAGGAAACTACGAATTCGGCATTCGCGCCGTTCACACAGCATCCGTCGTCGCGACCTTCGAGGACTCGCGTTCGGAGGGGGACAGAAGGAAACGATAAGAACGAAAAATAACGTCACAGCAGAGACCGTGTTATTTCATCGTCGTTTGGTTCGATGGAGTAAAGAGAAGGGGGCGGGTGGAAGAGGGAAATCATGGAACGTAGAGGAATGCAGGAGAGTTGGCTATCGCACCTTGTTGCGTGCCTTGGAATACGAGAGGATGCCGACGACGACGACGACGACGACAAACAATGCTGATGATAATGATGAATAATAAGGAAAGAAAACAATAAAATAGATAGAGATAAATAGAGGAAAATGATTGTTCGGAAACCCGAAAATATAATATAATCGCGGATTGCGAAAATTAAAGTTAGTAGTCGTGGTCGTTTTTGTTAAAAAGAGAGGTTGCTCTAATGCGCAGGTGAGCGCACGAGCAAGCAGCCCGTTCTCCGTACTACTGGCAGGTTGGCAGGTCACTCTGTTGTGTAGCGACGCTCACGGCATCGTACCAGGTGCATTCTCGCGGCCCGTTTGCCTGCTTTCCTACCTGAGAGTGCGCGCGCTCGCGCGCAAACAGGTAAGCGAGCGACCAACGAACGAACGTACGTACGAACGTACAACACGATGATGGCGATCGCTGTTGCAAAACCGGATGGTGCGGTGGCCGAGGCGGTGGCTCGTGTTCTCGAGCGCGCAGGTTATGTCACGTAACGCACGCCCTGCGATGACTTATCGGCCGAGAGAACCTCGAGGTCGCTCGGAAAGACGTCGAGTGTGTGCGCGCGTGCATCCGCAACGCAACCAGAAGGAAAGAAAGACACATGTGCATTTTAAGCATGCACGTGATACACACACACAAACCGAATGAAAATAAATTTGACGGCGATGTCAAACTCATGTCCTACGTCACCCAGTAACCACACACTCTCTGTGTGAACTGTCAAAACAATATTTCATATATTTGTTCCATTTATTTGATAATATAAATAATTGTAACACGTAGCAAATACGTATTCCCTATTTTTTTGCAAGGATCATGAGTACTACTGCTGCTTAGCGAATTAAATAAACAAAAAAATTCGTAGATTTCGCGTTTCTTTATTCCGATAGGATTATTAATTTTATTGACAAATGATGACTAATCGATTCGTCATTTGTCACACAATCGTTATCAACACGATAGATAACGAATTCATATTCGTATCTTTTGAGATTTTCTAACTTAATCTTTTTATATTTTACTCACACAAGTTTTGTTTTTCTTTTTATAAGAACCTCGGAAAGCGCGCGAATACTTTTATTTTCAATTATTATTATTATTATTGAATATCGAATATATACGAAATACGAAATAAATATTTGATCGATCAAGGAAGAAACGCGTTGTTAAATATATTTGAACGTTGGTCCGCTAGTGGTATGCACATATGTACACATATGTATGCCAGTTATCGCGCGTCAGCAATTTAGATGTTTGTTGAAAATAGTACGATGACTTGGAATATATCACGTGGTTGCTCGTAATGTAGCTTAAAAAGTGCATCTCTAGGCGTTGAGAGAGAGACCGAGTGACGGTAAAAAGGTGAAAGGCCATGGCGACATTTCCTGATGATCTATGAAACTTTGAACATTCAACAAGCTTGAGAACAAAATTTCTAACTGTAGGATTTATTTTACCTTATATTCTCTAAGAAGATACGTTGTTATTCTTTAATGACTATTATGTAATCTCGCGAAGGCTACTAAAAGTTGATCAATTGAACAGATACATACACAACATCCATCTCCCCCCCCCTCCCCCAATCGCACACATATGCACACCTGTGCTCGGTCAATAATTATAGTTATATATGTATACGTATAAGGAAGAAAGAAAAAAAAAAGCGCAAAACGAACGGAGCGAATAATGCAGGAAAAATAACGCGTACGATTAAAATATGTGATAAGAAATCGTACAAAACCAAGTTTTTTCAAGGTTACAAACAGCATCTCTCGTTTGATACGTTAGAGTAGAATTAGCATTATTCTCGATAAGAAATGAAAAAGAACAAGGACCTGTTCGAAATTTTATATTGAATAATCCGATGGATTGTAAATGTTGGACAAACTCATCGAGGTCGGCTTGTAACCTTTCGAATGATCATTTTGAGTATGGTAAAGAGGATTCTAGGAACTACAACGACGTAGAATAATCATTGAGAGAGTAATTATGTCCGCAACGATGGTCGTTCTCTGGCAGGTAAAGGTCATCGTTGTGGGTCCGAAGGTTACACCTCCTACTTGTGCTACAAAACGCAAGTAGCGACATCCTCCTGAATGCGAGGAATATTTCTATCTCTCATTTCCTTTGTAAATTTTGATCTTTGCTGAGCACCTGTATGTTCGCATTAATAAATAATAAAATTCTCGTTGTAAAATGAAAGTCAAGGAAAATCTATAAAACGAATGTTAAATCGGGAAACGTTGTTTTATCTCACATCAAAATCATCAATTTGAAAGAAATTTTCGATAGAAAACTTTGAGCGTACCGTTTTAGCGTTTCGGAACGCTCTTCTCATTGAGTTCGATCCAAGAATGGATCAGCTGGGTAATCGCGACGATGCGCGCACCGTACACAAATACATATGTATACTATGTATATAGGTACGATGGAGAGGGGTTAGGTATCACGCGGGAAGGCTAAAGAGAGAAAAAAAAAAAAAGAAACGAAAAGAAAAGAGAAAAAATGTCTATCCAAAAGCACACGCGTCCTACCTTAATTTTTGCTTTTCTTTTTCATCGTACGCGTCGCGTCAGGTAGCGATGCAGCAGCAGCACACACAGATTAACGGAGGACTGCGATCGCTTACTCCTCGTCTTCTGTTCCTTCCCTATTGTCTGTTTTTCTCTCTCTCTCTCTCTCTCTTTCTCACACACACACGCCAACACATACTCTCTTTCATTTTTCTGGACTTTGTCTGCGGCAAAGACTCGCGGGTGCAAGGATTATTTTCTCAAGGACGTTGAAGTTTATAAAAGAAAGTTGAAGAAGAGGCCCTATCTCTACGGATTTGTTAAATGAAAGTAATTGAAAAAAGGGGCGTGCACGCAGATCGGTTTGCGACGTAGACACAATACAACCATAGATTTAACGCATATCTGGCTAGTCCGAGAACAGGTCGGAAAATAATCATCGGCCAGTTCGAATATGAGAAAGGAAAAGGTTAGTTCGTTTAAGAAACATTACTCACCTTTATCGCCAACAACGATGACCGATCTGACCACGCGTCATTTGGGCAGTTCATAGCAGCTACAACACTACTTCGACCATCCGTGGGTTAGAGTTCATAACCTCTTCTACCCTTTGCTTTACCTTTTCTTCGCCCCTTCTCCTCCTCATCCTTCACCACCTCCACGTTCTTCACCTCCTTCTGGTCTTGCATCTAACCCCACCACTCGCCTTTTTACCCACTCAACATTGGATTCATAGGCATCGATACGCAATCGTATTACAGATTGTCGACATCTTTTCTAAACTGGACTGCACTGACATCAATGACGATTCCCATCGTCGTTTCCGAGCGACAATAAGCGGCAAACGCCCCAACAACTTTTTCTTCGTAACACCGTAGAAGCGTCGAGCGGCCATTTTGAACGCGCCACTTTTAAATCGAATTACATCGAATTTTATACTTGACGCGCGATTTTTTTACTTTAGACAATTAATTTATGCTATTTTATTTATGATTTTATTGAAATTAACATAAGTATATACTTATTTAATATCGGTGTAAAAATGTGAGATTAATTTTTCGGTTATGATAACAATAAGATACATCAGATAATGGAAAATAAAAACAAAGGGACTTCAATTCTCTTTCGAAAATAAATAGTTTGCTTTACAAAATTTTAATACAATATTTATTACACTCGCGTAGAGTACACTCTTATTAATATGCATATAATGGAAATGATATAAACCAAAAATAAATTTTGATAATTAAGTCTGATTTACTAAAGTAATTAAACGATTATTTTATTGCTATATTTAATTGTAGATATATAGAATTACAACTTTGTACGTGATATTTTCGATCGTGCGTTTTAAGTTTATACTATTATTTTCTTTTTGTTTTTCGTATAAAAAATTCGAAAACTTTAATATTCTAAAATGAATTTTCGTATAATGTGAATTATTTTCGATTAAAAAAGTGAATACTCCGAGTTAATATACGTATGTATAACGTAATTTTTGTTAACAATCGTAGTGCTAAATTGGTTCCATTATATAAGACGAAGATATTGCCAACGACATGACAAATGGCATTGCCTTTATATTCCGTCAATCGCTTTGTTGCAAAATTGCAAGAGATCATTCAATGTATATATAATCAAAGTTATTTTTACAATTCTTCTTTCTCTTCTTTTTTTTTCTTTCTTTTTAACAGGTACTCTTATCTTTTTAGTCGATTTACAATAATCATAAGAATGATAAATTGCAGTTTGGAAGATTGTCCAAGACCTTATGTTTCAATCGGCGCGATTAACTGTATATATTTAAAAGAATTATTAAAGAGATAAAGAAATTCATATTTTATATGCCCAGTCTTAATTTAGATTCTAAGGCCACTATTCGAACATTGCTCTGCGCGTTAAAAGCACCATTTCGATCGACGGATGTAAATATGGAAAGTGCTTTCAAAGCCGAACTCGAAATAAGAATACAGAGGCTCTTGGACTAAATATCCGATATAGATCACATTGTAAGTATGTATGTATAGATATATTATGTACATGAACACTTCCACGAATATTGCAGAATTTCTGAATAAGTATATTAATCGGTAACGATATGATGAATATACCACAGAAATGATTTCACAGCATATATCTATGCTCGTTCTATGAATAAAAGCAAACTTAAAGTTATCTAACTTCGATAAAAACTGACTGACATTTTCATTACAATTAAAATCATAATAATTACCTAATACAAGAGTCCACTGCATATAAGATACGTATGCATATATATAAATATCGATTAACATATGAAAAAAAATAATATTTCATTTCATTTGCATTTATGTATGACCCATATATAACGTTGAAAGTATGTATCACACTGTTTAATATATTGTACAAATAATTCATATAGTGTTACTAAATTTGCATTATGTCGAATGCAAATTATAAGTTTGTGGATTCTAATTAGACGATACAGAATCTAAGGAATTATCGTATTGCATAAAATTCGAATAATTATATGTTCCTTAATATATATATATATATATATTTAAAGTATTATTTGTAATTATATTATCACTGTTAAGCGTGTTTCAATAGAGAGTAATAGCATCAACCGAGACGATCGGTAATAAACTAAATTCATCCTAAATATTAATTCGAATTCGAATACTATGGATTTAGTCACAAAAAATTCCAAGCACCATGATGATTTCAGATGCAAATTTCAAATACGATTATTCTGGTTAATATTTTGACAGGTACTGCGAGTTGATCACAGGGTTCTGCGCGTTCGGTTTAAAGGCAAACATGTAGTAGCAGATCTATGATTAAAATCTAATATTTTGTGAAAATATTCGATATATGCGTATAGATTGAATCGCGTTTAACTTGTTTTTTTTTTGTTTTTTATCTAAAACATTATCATATTTACTTGTAATTAAATTATTGCGTTAACTAATGACCAAATACTTCTTGACTGGCGAATAAGATGTACAGGTATCCATCCTCATCCTGTTCCCTTTGGTACAGTTGCAACATAGTCATGCTACCACTTACCAAACTTCTACTATTCGTCAATAGATAAAATGACTGTGTTGGATTTAGGTGTAGTTTAAGTCTAATATCAAAAAATCTTTGATAATAACACACAGTTTTTTAATAATATAAAAAATTGTTGCATCATAGAAATACCTTAAAATTTTTATTAATTCTGCCACTGATAAGTAATCGGGTACCAAAAATTTGGTGTTATCCAAAGTTGGTAATTGCTTTTCTCCTGGAAATCGTTCTACCACTATAGGAATTTTATCTGGATGTCTCTTTTTAATAGTTTCCACATCGGCTACTCTTGTTGCTAAAGAACAAATCCATTATTAGTTGTTTAAATATCGAACGTAACATCATAAATTTATAAAAAAAAAACTAATGTACAAAATAATTTCATTAAACTACAAAGTATCCCAAAAAGTCAGGACCAAATTGATACCGAATGAAGATTTGTGTCTGAAAATGATTTATTGAGGAGTTGTAAGCGTTTAAGGATTTCTATTAATCCAATTTTTTTTTTCTTTATTCTGCAAGAGTATACAGGTTTTCATTTATCAAAGTAAAATGATTGTTAAACCCTTTCGAATATTCCTGTTCTTGCAGAAATAACAGTAGATATATTTGGTATGCATTCCCAAAACTGGTCTTTTGTTTCTACCACATTTATGGCATCACGTAAAGACGTATTAATTAAACCTCATTAATATCTGATATCAGCTTGATCCTGATCTTTAGGAAAATCCTGTATAGATAAGAATGAAGTTATTAACGTTACTATAAATGTACCAAATTCAAAGTAAAAAATTAATAACATTTTATAACCACGTTGAAATATTATTCATATATATTTTATGCACAAATTGAATAAACTTTAACGATAAGAATAATAGAATAACGTATTAAATACTGTTATAAGCGGCAACGATGTAAAAACAATAAAAAAATGGGATAACGATGACTGTTTGTTCGATGACCATTGTTTTTTTCGAAAACGAAATAAAGCTTATAATCCATAGTTAAAAATGTATATTTACCAAAGGGACGTCTTTCTTTGAAACTTTTCGGTGTCAAATTCATTTCTAATGAAATAATTGTAAATTATTGAGACGTATTCAATAAGATACGTATTAGCTCTGAAATAAATGTACGTAAACTTAACGACGCTATATTATGTACATACACAATAACGTCAGTGTCTGTAAGGTTGGGTCTGTCGAAGGCCTCCATTTTTTTTTCTTTTTTTGAAAATGTAATAAAATTGTAGAATGAATAATATCGTCAAATATTTCATCGAGGAAGTAATTCTTTTTAAAAGTTCTCTCCTTTAGATACATACTTTGTTAGAAACACTAATAAATATAAACTATTACAACGTGTATTCTAGAATAAATTGAAAGTTTCAGACAGAACTAGAATCGCGGGTGAAAATAATAACAGTATGTGCATACGCATACGGAAGAGCGTCTGGTAGGTTAGATTGGTCGAATGTAAACGATAGAACATATGATTGAGCTATCGCGAGCTGCTATTGGACGGTTAGCGTCCGAAGTGTTTGCGCATGCGCAGAAATGCACTTGAAAAGAAAGGATAAAGTATATCATATAGATGGGAATAGAACAGTCGTGCGTCAAGGTTGTATCATTGCAATTCTCTGACAACAGATGGTGCTGTCAAGCAGCTTTTACAAAAGTAAGTATTCCAATCTAGAAGAAATACTTATACTAAGGTACGTTTACGGAGCTTTCTTCGTGCAACGAAGCGATCGGAGTACGGTGGTACATCCGTGCGCGCTTTAAAGACACGTTTTTTCATATATGTACGAACGCGAGTGCATGCGTGGGTGTGCAGCGCAACAGCAGTGAAGCAGCGGAAGTTTAGCTCGAGACGCGAAAGGTACGCGAAGGTGTGGATCGGATAGAAGTCAGTGAAAAAGAAAGAAAAAAAGAAGAAGAAGAGAGAAGTTGGAAGGGAAGAGAGCGTCTGCCGTGGCGGCATTTTTAACGCGCGCGGTTTGAACGCGGAGCTTGTTGTACATCGTGCGTATATGACATATCGATAGATAGAAAATAGTAGAAGAGGAGGCGTAACGGAAGGAAGGAAGGTAGGAGGGAAGGGAAAGAAGAAGAAGAAAGAAGAAAAAGGAGGAAGAGAAGGAGAAAGGGAAAGGTAAAGAAAAGAAAAGAGGGGGAAGGGTCGAGAACACCTGTGCGCCTAGAGGAAAAAGGATATCTTTTCGAGTTTGGCAGTGGTTATTTGAAACGACGTTGTGTCGACAGAGGTTCGACCATCGATAGGAATCGCGTCTCGAGGACGCGCCGTGCCAAGTTCAAGCGACAACCGTATATATGCGTGTTTGTTCTGTCTGTCGTCGTCTGATCGTGCACCGTCGTCTGGTCATGCACCGTCGTCTGGTCATGCACCGTAGTCTGGTCGTGCACCATCGTTTACCACACCAGTAGAGTAAGCTGAATCGTTCGTGTTCCTTCGTAAATACTCGCCTGCCTACTATTCTTCTTCTTCTTTTGCGGTTGCAACTGTTTCCTGACACGACTTATTCTAACAGGGGGGTATAAAAAGAATAAAAACACGATGGTGGTGGAAGTGACGGTGGCCTCGTAAATAAGAGAAAGAGAGAAAGATAATAAAGCGTGCACGACGATGAAAGTTGAAAGGAGAAAAGAAGAGAACGCTGCTAGTGGAAGCATCGAGGATTGGAACGAGCAAGTTCGAGTAGCAACGAACGAGTAAGGAGGAAAAGGAAGAAGAGGCGGGCGGTGGTGGTGGAGGTTGCGGAGGAGGGTGCAAGGAAAGCGAAAAAGAAAGAAGGAAAGGAAGAAAAAGAGAAAGAGTGAGAGAGAGAGAGAGAGAGAGAAAGAGAGGGAGGGAGGGAGGGAAGAGAGATCGAGGAGAATCGGCAAACGTGTGTGTATGCGTGCGCATACTGTGTTGTGTAGGGCGAGACGGCGGAAGTGAGGGGTCGTTCTCTCTCTTTCTCTCTCTCCGTCTGTCCTTTTCTTTGTTGTTCTTGAGGGATAGAAGAAGAAGAAGAAGGAAGAACAGTAGTAGCATTAGTTGCAGCAGCAGGGAAGGTTTGTTGCACGTCGATGCCGAGGAGCGGTCACGAAGGAATTTTCGTCGTCTTTTGACACTTTGATGCGTGCGAGAAATTCGTTGGGTTGGGCGAATTCGTTGTTTTTCTTGGGGGTGGTGGTGTTGTTGCAAGTGGAGGTAGTAGTGGTTGTGGCGGCGGCAGTGGCTGTGGAAGTGAGTAGTACTAACAGTACTAGTATTATTATTAATAATAATAATAATATTAATAATAGTGACGGTAGTGTCGATTGGTATAAGAATAAGAAGAGGTTGGTGCGGGGGTGGCATGATATGTCGCCGCCGGTGGTGGGCCTCGTGGTGGTGTTTCGATGCCGGTGACGAAAGCCGTGAACCCGTGAGCAGAAACGAAAGAAGAAGGACAACGACGAAAAAGCCGAGGACGAAAAGGGAATCATCATCATCCTCCTCCTCCTCCTCCTCCTCCTCCTCCTCCTGTATTCGCAAGTTACGGTTATAAAAAGGAAGGAAAGGAGCAAGAGCAGCGGCAGAGGTCGAGCCACTGTCGGTCGGCGGGTTGTGCTGGTGCCAATAACCTCTCTTTCTCTCTCTCTCTCATCGAGCGCATTGGACTTTTCTCTGATGCACACGATGCGTTTTCTCCCGTACTATTACCGTATAGATCGTAAAATTAGACGTTCGAAGGCTCGCTCTAAGGTAAAAGGAGAAGAACAATCCTCTTGGCCTCTTGTCTCGTTGTTTTACAAAAACGAATCACCAACGAATAATAAGGTATTGTTGTTGTTGCTGTTGATCCTCGAATCATCTGCATTCTTTTGAGAATACACACACACACACACAAGCAATCAACAATAACACAAAGGTAGAAGAAAGAAGAAGAAATAATCGAAGAACGATAAAGAAGATGACTCCTGTCGCTTCGAGCCGACGTCTTCTTTGTTAACTGACATTTTTCATATAGTTCCTCTTTTAATACTATCGACGCATCAATAACTTTTCCTCCTCCTCGTTTCTTTATTTTATTTTTCATTTTTCTTTTTTTTTTTCTTTTATATATATGTATTTAATATATATATATAAAATTTCTGCAATTTCTTTCCCATTCGGTTCTCGAATTTGAAGGAATGCGCGCGTGCGCGCGCAATAAAAAGAAAGAAAGAAAGAGAGAGGGAGAGAGAGTGAGAACGAGAACCACGTGCGCGAGAGTTCAATTTTCTAGTCCGCTGCATTTAAAATATTAACGTTTTAATACGATCGATGTTTACATGCCACGAGAAAGGCATATAAAAGAAGAGAGTTTGTCTTTGTTTCTAACGAGAAAATTCAATGAGCCTTCGATTGTAACTTATCGATCGATACGAGAGACTGAGAATAGCAAAAAGGAGAATATTAGTTGATTAATTTATTGGAGAGAGAGAGAGAATAAAAAAAAGCACGGGAATAAGGGAGAGGAGAAGAGGAAAAGAGAAGAAGAGATAGTTAAATAAATAAATAACTAAATAAATAAATAGATAGATAGATAGATAGAAAGAAAGAAAGAAAGAAATAAAGAAAGAAATAAAGAATAAAGGTAAACGAGAGATAAGGAGATAAGGTCCGTGTTCCCTCGGCATGAAGATATCCGAGGAGGCCACGATTCCACGGGGTGTCGAAAAAAACGAATCGAACGTCTGCTGAGAGATCTTTTGTCCTGTTTGATTTGCAACGTGTTAGTTGATAAGAAAAGACAGAGGGAGAAGAAGAGTAAGGGAACAAATGATTAGCTTAACCATTGCGACGAGCATGATGCCTCTGTCAAGGGCAAATCCGTATGGAACACCGGCGGCGGCGGCAGCAGATACGATATCGACGCAACAGACGAACGAGAGCAATCACCTGCCACCGTTGAAGTCAACCTCGGCGGCAGTGGTGATGATGGCAGCGGCTTTCGATAATTTAAAGCAGAGCGAATCGTCGCCGCCGCGTCACGTCGCGCACGCGACCATCGGTCACGTGGTTGGCGGTGGTGCCACCGGTGGAGGACCCTCCACGCACCTGCCCAGCCTTGCGTCGAGTACTAACAACAGCTTGCAAAATCTCTCCGGGAACTCGGACAGCCTTAATCTCAGTTTGAGCTCGCACGCGAGTCACAATTCGCATTCGCAGCCAAACTCCCAGTCGAGCAGTCCGATGGTAAAGAACGGTAGATCGGATGGTAGTTCGAGTGGTGGTGGTGGAGGTGGAGGTGGTGGTGGCGGTGGTGGTGGTGGTACGGGCGGAGCCGTGGTTTGCACTACCGAGGGAAGGCCCGGTACCGCGTCTGGGGCCAGTGCTAGCCCAAGTACCGTTCTTCTTCCGGAAAAACGAATGTCGATGAAGCTTTTACCGGAGACCGTCATGAGGTTCTACATGAACAAACTCACGCCTTACGAGCACCACGAGATATTCACTTACGATTACGTTTATTTCATCGGGGCTAACGCCAAAAAGAGGCCCGGCATTGTCGGACGACGAAATAATCACGATTACGACAATGATCAAGGTTCTTATATACATGTACCGCACGATCACGTGGCCTATAGGTACGAAGTCCTCAAGGTAATTGGCAAGGGTTCCTTCGGTCAGGTCGTTAAAGTTTACGATCATAAGAATCACGAGCACGTTGCCCTCAAGATGATTAGGAACGAGAAAAGATTTCATCGGCAGGCGCAAGAAGAGATCGAGATATTGAAGAAACTTAGGGAACAGGACAAACACGATAGGATGAACATCATTCATATGTTCGAAGCATTCACCTTTCGATGTCACACGTGCATCACCTTCGAGCTACTCAGTATCAATCTTTACGAGCTCATCAAGAAGAACAGGTTTCGGGGCTTTAGTTTGCAGCTCGTGAGGAAGTTTTCTTATTCCCTTCTTCTTTGTCTCGATGCCCTAAACAAGAACAAAATCATTCACTGCGATATGAAGCCGGAAAACGTTCTTCTAAAGCAACAAGGACGGAGTGGTATCAAGGTGATTTACTTTTTTCCACAATTTTCTTTTACAATCCTTTTCCTCTTCTTACGTCAGGATCCTTCGGACCATAATTCGTTCGAGAGGAGAAAGACATCGGAATCGTATCTCTCTTCTACCTTTTACGATCCCTTCTATATATATATATATACGTTCGTGGTTTTATATCGAATGTCACTCTAAAATCTTTCCTTCTTTTCAAGATTTACTTCGCGTCTCGAGATTTCCCGAAGGTTTCACAAAAGGTTTTACGAAAAGGAGTACGTAAATGCTACCGAGTGTTATATATTTTTCTCTCGAATAATCAAATCTCTAAGAGCACAAATGAATTGCATACTTCCGAGTCAGATATTTGAATCAAAAAGTCGATGCTTTTATCGAACGCGTATCGCGGAACTCGCAGTAGAAATTTCAATCGCATCATTCTCCACGATAACGCGTACATACTTATCTAGGATCGATGATGACGGCGAGTAACGCGAAACGACGCCTCTATTTCAATTTATGATGTCACCAATGTACACACGTGTGTGTATCCGTCTCTACTAAAACATGTTCTTCCAAAACTATTGATTTATAATTAGAATATTTTATTAAAATAGGCAAAGAGAAGAAACTTGATAGAATAAAGAATCTTATGATTCGATCGATTATCTTAATCTTAAAGTTTTGATCGATTAAAGGTAAGGGTACTCGAAAAGTAGTACTCTCGACGATGAGTTTAATATTTCGGGCTTAAATTGTTTCTCATAGGGTAAAAAGTCGTTGGAAACTCTTCATGCAAATGCGATGCATACTACATGCGACTATGAGTGTATGCGATATGAGTGCTCGTTTGTTGTGTAGTTCGTATGAAGGGTCAAAGGCGCCACTGGGTCGCCCACAATGCACGAGGATTAATGTATTGACAAACTCGGTATGCAGACCGCGTGTATGCTCGCGTGCATGTTCCCTTCAACCCCCTCCTCCTCCTCCTCCCCCACCACCCTTCTGCATACACCACGTACATATATAGAGACATAGAATACGTTTACGGGGTATAATAACGTCGTCGCGTTGTTTTTAATGAGCTATAGCGTTAGAAAGCTTTACTCGACGTTTCGTGTGTTTTGTCACGCAACGTTGGCAAACTTTTTGTTTCCTCTAATGTATATATATATATATATATATTTGCGACCTTGCGAGGTTTCATGGCCCTCGTCGTCAATGATTACTCCAAACTTTGACCGTGATTCGGGGCCAAAACCTGTTACCTAACGACGCTGATACTGTACATGCCGAAATCGATATACCTACATCGTGTTATGGCTACCTGATATTCGATTTTACGCTATTCCGAGACTAACCCGTTTCAATAATTTTAGTCATTGAAAGTAAGTCGTTTAACACAGATTTACCAGGTATTTTGATATATCAGACAAAATGATTGGTCTTTAACAAAAAGTGTTTGGCGAGGTAAAAATAACAATAGCAACAAATATATTTCTTTCGAATATATAAGATAATATAAAGTTCATTATAAAATTGATTATTTAGTTGTAGCTACGAAAATTATGATATCATTACGTAAAGTAAATGTTACACATGCAGTAGGAATTTAAAAATTGAAATTGGAAGAGCCAGTTGTCATTTTGACTTGTCTGATAAATCTAGTGTTAATGATACTAATAATAAATGAGAACGAAATGTTGGTGGGGTTAAATGAATCGTAAAAGAAATTGAAAGTAGATGGTATTATTAATATGTATGTTTTTACTGTTACGTATGTCAAACGGTCTCGTTTTTATTAATATCGAGATTAAGTTTTAATGAAATTAATCAAGTCTGATAAATGTATTATAGGATCGAATCGAAGCTATAAGGAAGATGAATTATTATCATAATTGTCTCGATAAAGATTTCTCGATCATGAGAATGAAAGATAGAAAGATTGTATCACTTAACGCTACTTTAATATTAATCTCCTCTCATGGTCATTGGTACGCGTTGATTACACGTGTTCGATATATCATCTAATTTCCAGTATAATATTACCAAAGAATCAAATTATTACGATGATTGAAATCTTCGATAGAGCGTGAAGAAATAAACGAATACGAATTAACGAGAGTGACTTTTGCCTAGATACAAATTTAATTCGTTACCCTGATTAATAAATTTATAAAATGGGTATTTCGATGAATTACGATTTTGATCAAGAATTAATTATTCATATATCTCTCAACGAATATTATTTTATTTTATTTTATTTTATTTTTCTTTTTATTTATTTTTTGATTGTGTTGTCGGTTTCTTTATCGCGTTGTCAGCTTTTGAAAATACAATTTTATTCCAGGAATACACATTTATTTGCATACATTTTTCTGAGCGAGAAGATTCGTTCGGTGATCTGGGAAAAGAGGAGGGGAGTACGAGAGAGATAGAACGCATTTATAATTCTTTTCCTTTTGTTTTTATTTTTTTTTTCAATCTCGTCTCCCTTGCATTTTTATCAGTACGATGCTTGTTGCGTTAAAAAAAGAAAAACAATCGTTTATTTCCTCGTCTTATCACATTGTTTCTTTTTTTTTTTTCTTTTTTTTCTTTTAGGATTGAGATATAAATTGTTTTCTAGGTCAGGTACGAACTCTTATTCGGTTACCATTGAGTTTTGGCTTTCATGTTAAAAAGGAAATGAGAGAAAGAAATATTGGGAGACTTGTAATCCGTAGGATCGTCCGGAAGCAAATTCATAAGGTTGCATTTTCTCTGTTGAAAAAAGTTCTGACAAAAAATTCAGTCCAAAATATGCATTCTCTGGTATGAAAGAAAAAACGGGGAAAGAGAGAAAAGGAATGAGGAAAATTGGGGGGGAAGCTTTCAACCACAGTTTCCGTATTCTTGGATATGAAAAACTAGAGAAAATAGATAGATTATATTCGGTGCGAAAAACAATGACAATTCGGATAATTCCTTTCCCTCTGTGTATTCTTATTATTTTATTTTTATTTTTAAACAGATCAAATTTAGCCAGAAAGAGAGAAAACGTTTGATTTATCATTTCCTTTTTATCGAGTCAATCGATTTTTCTTATTTTCATTTAAATCTTATCTTTTAACACATTCCCATTGTTTTATAAATAATATCATCGAATAATTTCAACGCGAGCACAGAATTTCTCTCTCTCTTTCTTTATTTATCCATTCTATCTTCCTTTTCTTGTTTTTCTCTTTCTCTTTCTTTAGGTTTTACCGGTAGCGTGGTAAATTTCTCGAAGGAGATCAAATATCGCGTTAAAACCTGCACCGGGGTTTTCAGCATCCGTTCGAGAGACGTTGAGCGGTCCAGTTCACACAACTATAGATCGTAATACGATCAAGTTTTCCCTCAAGTTTTCTATGTGGTTCCTTTAAATTCGAGAAAAATATTCTGAAAGAGGAAAACGGGGGTGCGGGGGTAGGAGGGAGGGGCGGGAATCAAACTACGATGGTTGTTGACCCATAAAAATCTTCACACCTTTATAGGATTTTTCTTTAAATGACAATTACCGAAAAATTTTCATTATAAACATAATTTTATATTTCCACGAATCTTTTAATTTGCGAGTAAATTTTCTTTACGATCGTACGAATCTCGTCTCGATAGTTAACTCGATGATTTATGAATTTTCGAAATAAATGTGATTTTTTAATTGCCATTACTATTTTATAGAATAATTCTGTCCCTGAACTTTGATCGTATCGTGCAAAAGAGAGAGAGAGAGAAAAAGAAGTTATGCTAACCACATTTGTTTTAACCATATTGTGTTTTCATATAATTTATTTTAATCAATCATAGCACACGCGTCGTAGAGATACGATAAAGATTTTCACACGCACAAAATTTATGTAAATTAAAATGATTTATTTAAAATAAACATCGTGTAATTTATACAAGTTATCTGATTATATATACGATTGATAATCAAATATGACATCGATAGGGAGGAAAGGGAGAAGAGAGAAGTGGACGAAGTCAAATATAATAATCCAACTAAATTCATCGTTAAATAAAAATATAATATTTAAACGTCATCGGTTATTTTTAATCATTCTTCTCTCCCGTGCGAAATCGTATTAAATTAAAAATTCGATATTTCGTAATCGCATTTCATTAATTTAACATTTTAATGACGCGTAATTTTTACTTTGTATTTTTTTTTTGTTCTTTTTTTTTATGTTGTTCTTTTTTAAATTAATAAAAAGAGAAAGAGGAGATAATATTATAATTGGAATAATGTGAAATAATAAACTATCGGTCTAACGAATATCGAAGGAGAAATAAAATAAATTGACTTTGAAGTTCATTAGGATCGAATGAATCGTTCTTGTAGTTGTGCAAATCTCGGTGTTAAAAACGTGTCGTTTAACGAGTTATAGTTAAAATTATATACTTACAATCTACGAGAATTTATGATATATACGAGATATAAAAGATTTAATGTTTCCCGAAACGAGATTCGAATAATTCTAACGTTATTGAATCTAATAAGTTTTCTCCCCGTGTCTCATTCGTTATCCCAACGTTATATATATTCTTCCTACTATAACCGATATCGAAGTTATGATTTTTTATTGTTGTCTTCTCTTTTCTATACTATCCTATATATACGAATAAACTTATCTAATCGCGCGAGGATTAAAATGTTACGTAAAATAAATCTGTTAAATAATTATATCTGGATACATTGCAAGATATGTGACATTATAATGAAACAATATTTTCATTTATATACGAGAATCAATATATATTAATAATTATAAAAAATATACAAATAATTTGTAGGAAAAAAAAACAACTTTTAGGTGTAATATAAAAATATGATTAATGTGTCGAATATTTGATAGGAATGATTAGGATATATGAAGATTAATTTGAAAGAAAATCCGGAAAATAATTGCGGGAATAGAAATTGGATGGAAATTGTGGTAAAAATCAATCGATCTTTCGATAAATCGATTCATCTATCTATCGTAAGATTT